TAAATAAAAATTAAATGCAAGCAGATACTTGGCCCGCATAAGATATGCATGCATATGTACATATGTATATAACATACAAACATACAAATAAACATTTGTTTGTATGTATGCATGTATGAACTGCAATTCAGGAATGATAATAACACAAGCGGGCTGCTGAAAAGAATGCTTCGACTGAAAATCAAATAAAGCGAGGCAGTGCAGACACCACAAATATGTACATACATATGTATGCACAATATGTATGATAACAAAAACAACAACTGCCTAAACAACTATCGACACACACGCACATTCATTCAACTAATAAATAAGCAACAAGCGGAGCTTAAAGCAGCAACAACAATAGCAATATACAACGCTATCAAGCCAAGTAACGTCACCTCTGCGCAACAGTCAGCAACAACAACTAGCAACGGTGTGTAGACAAACAAAAGAGAATAGAAAAAACGCGATCAGCAACCGGAGTTTCAACAACAACAAAAATAACAAAAACAACAAACTGTTGCTATCGTTATAGCAAAAACTCGAACTCGTACTCGAAAGGTCGTTTCAAAACGGGTTCAAAACAGTGTTGCCAACTAGCAAAATACAACAAAACCAACAAAACAGCAAGTAAGTATGTGCCACCAACACAAGTCGCACGTTTTCTGCTGAGCCCTCGTCTGCAGCGTTCGAGTACAAACGTAGCTTGAGTCTTGTATTTGCTTGTTATTGTTGTTGCTGTTGTTTGGTTTGTTCTTATTTTGCAGTTACTGGTTTAGTTTGCTGCTTTACTTGGTCGTCAACAGTTGGAGTTTCACATTGCTGTTAATTTGTTTTTTTTTTATGTGTATTATTTTCCTCTTTTTCTTCTTCTTGTTCGTTTGATGCTTCTTACTTGCTTTCGTTCGTTTGAAACGCTTCGCTAAACTGTGACTCACATTGCAACGATACCCCAACAATATTGGCACTTTCAGGCGAATATATGTACATACAAACATACTTATGTATGTGTGTGCATGTAAATTTGTATGAGTTTGTCTGTGCGCCTGTTGTTTGAAGTTGTTGATGTGAGGAGTTATTTTCATTTTGTTGCCGTAAATTGAAGATGTGCGTGTGTTGTTGCTGTTTGTTGCAAGCAAATATTTCTGTTAGTTTCGTTTAAATGTATATAAATTCCACATTGTTGTTATATTTGTTTTTTGTTTCTTTGCAACAATGCACACATCCATGCATACGTACATATGCATGCGCTTATGTTTGCAAAAAGGCGCGAAAGCCGCAACGCGACTTTGAAAATGGGGGATTTATTGTTATGGTATTAAATTCCTAGGGATATTTCGCACTCGTGCATTTATTAGGAAGTCGAAGAGCAGCTGAATTGAGCAGGAAATGAGTGGCAAACGCACACATACAACATATTTATGAGTTTGCTTATACAATACCATAAAATGATGATACATAAATATTTGGATAAAAAATTAATTTCAGTGTGCTTAATATTAACAAAAAAAATTATACTTTGTTTGAATAAATTTTTTAGAAAGCAAACATATTTTAAAAAATTGGGGGAAAAAAAGTTGAAGAAAAAAATTTATTTTGAAAAATGTTTAGAAAAACAATATATAAAAATTAAATGTTTTAAATAAAAAAATTTTAAAATAAATGTATTAAATAAAAATCTTAAAAAAAAATTAGAGATAGTTTAGGAAACAAATTGAAGTTTTGAAGAATTAATATTGTAAATATTAAAACAAAAAAATAATGAAAAATTTTTAGAAAACACATTTCTTAAATAAAAAGTTTTCAAAACTAATAAAAAAAAAAGGAAAAAGTTAGAAAAAAATTAGAAAGAATTAGAAAAGGATTATTGTGAAAAACTTTTTAGAACAAAATAATTAAAATAGAAATAGAAGCAAATATTTTTTATTTTTTATATTTAAAAAACATTTATGAACTAAAAAATTGTAAAATATAAAAAAACAAAATGGAAATAAAACAAAAATCAGAAAAATTATTTAGATATTTTTGTTTTTAATTTTAAATAGAATACTTATAACACTGAGTTGAAGGCTCACCGGAGAAAAAATAATTTGCAAAAAATTAGAAAGTTCTGTTGTAATTTAAACGGTTTCTAGCAATTAAAACTACTTGTCTCAAAAATCATTCTTTAAATAGTTTTACTTAAAAAAAGAAAACTAACAACGCTGTGGCAAAATTTCGCGAAAAATTATGAGGCACAGCAACAAATTAATAATAAACTCTTAGCTCACGCCACCTGCGTTACATATTACTACTGTGTGTTTGTAAATACGTATTTATGTATGTAGAATATATTCCAGCATAGAATTCAGCAGAATCGTATGATGCATTATAAAATGAAGTTCTGAGAAGAAGTTGAGTAAGCGATTAGATCATAAATAATGAAGTAAAAATTTATGAGTATGGATATAAATATTTTTCTGAATGCAAAATGTGGAAGTACTTAGATATGTGCGGGTTTGGAAATTAAATGTTAACGGAAATTGATTAAATTGTGTTGTAATTGATTGTTTTAATATTATCAAATATATATAATTTTAATATATTTTTGTAAACTTATCCAGCAAATGAAAATTGATAAACAAAAAAATTTAATTAAAGTGAGGTGTACTTTACACAAAACGATTATAATTAATAATAAAATAAAATAAAATCTGTATATATTGTACATATGTATATAGTTGGTTGTGGTCCGCATATAAAAATTAGTTAATAGGAATATTAGATTAAAAAAAATTTAATTTTTTCTTTCTTATAATATTCTAATTATTTTTTTTTTGTGACCCAATGTTGCTATGGCATGACAAATTACAACCTCCGCTTCAGTTGAAAACGCTTACAAATATCTTTTTACTTGTTTACTTAATTTTAGGCAGATATGATTTCACTTTCAGCTGATTTCCCCATTTGGGGATTCCCCTTACCACATACTTATATTACAAATTAATTGATTTATTACGAAAAATCGTGTGTTGTTCTGTTGCAGAATGATTCATGTACATACTTTTATATAGATATGTGAATATTTTAAGCTTCAACTGATGTAATACGAGTAGGTATGAAAAATATTCGTAAATTGGGAAAAATTTATTAGATTCGGGGATTTACAATAAGTTCTGAGACGGTTATTAAATTATAACTAGCTTTTTCTGAGCAATTACATTTTTTCCTCCAAATTTACCAAATACTGTTTTTTATCCAAAAAAAAAATAAAATTTTTTCGAAAAAAATTTCGAAAACAAAAATCAGTTATGCTTTATGATATATCCTCTTACTATTATTTTTTCGAAAATTACATTGTTTTACAAAATTTTGTTGGCGAGATATTCAAATATTTCTTTTCTTAAAAAATCATTGCTAAAAAAAAACTAAATACATAAATGTGGAACTAAAATTTGATAGCGTTCAATCTACGAAATATTACTAGGTGTATATTAATGAACGTATGTACGTATCTGTATGGTATATTTATTATAATATTTGATATTTTTAGACAAATTCGGCGATTATACAAATTATTATTGCATATTTTTCGAAAATAAGTTATAAACAACGAAAAAAATTTAAAAAAAAATTTAGTTTTACAAATTTCGCGCATTGAAAATCTTTTTACGCATACATTTAGGGGCTAACATTATTTATATACATTTGTATGTGTTGCAGAGACTATCTGCGGCAAAAAGTGACACAAATTCCGAAAAAGGTCAAATCACAAAAATGTCAAGTAAAGTTAACAATAAGAAATAAAGCACGGATTCGAAACGTGTGTTATATCAGATATTATTTTTAAAATGAGTTGAGATTCGCCCAAAGCTTCAAAAAATTTTATGAATGCTAAAAATGTTCGAAAGAGCAGCACAAAACAGACTACAAAGTAAAATGGTTATAAAATTTAATATTATTTTGCTTAAATATAGTAAGAAAGTGAAAAGATGAAACACAAGCCTAGTCACATGACGAAATATACGCACAATTTTAATAGGCTTACTGGACAGGTCTTGCCGATTGAACAACTGGTTGAGGCGCATAGTGGCGTGCTGGTGTTGGAACGCCATACATTTTTGTATAATTTATTATTATAATTTTTATATAAAATTTATGTTTGTTGTTGTTGTTTGTCTGTTGGTCAAAAAGCGAACGGCGGGCAAAAAGAAGGGTGACCGGGTGATATGCGCTTAGAAAATGGCAACATCAACAAAATTACTAGACAAGCCATCAAACGGCAAAAGCGATGATGATGCCTTGGCTTCGTTTATTAATACACTTATGTATTTTTTATACATATACACATGTATATGGTATATGGCACAATCTGCATACATATGTATGTATGTATCTAAATTCTGCAGACTCACCATTTAAATTATGCGTTACCAAATCAACATACATATGTATTTTTGCTTCTACGCTGATGAATCGTTAATACTTTGGCAAATTTCTAAATATATACACATATTTCCGCTATTATTAACACGGTTGAAGAGGAAAATAGCAGAATAAAATTTATAATTAAACTGACAAATGAATGCTGAAATGCCGAAAATGCGCAACGTGGGCGTCTATACGGCCGATGAGAAGGCGTCGATCTCGTCGCTTGGATGCCTAGGTGGCGAAAAATTTTCCAAGCAGCAAGCAGCCCACAGTCGCCCTCGTGAAAAACGTCGTAAAAAAAAACAATATTTGCTACACACATACACATATATGTATATGTATGTCGACACTTATAATACTATACTTGGGTGCTGTGACTTTGGTGGGTGGTGGTAGCGGCTGTCACCCTCGGCCACTTCGAGGCACAGCACTAGCCAATGCACTTTAATAACTGTGTATTTTTGAAAATATATGGAAAATCACTCATACCATTAACAAATAAAAAGGTAAATGCAAAATGCACACACACGAACACACAATGAAGCGCGCGCGCACACACGTCACTGCACTATAGAAATAACTGTCTGTTTGTATGTTGTACCTACCATTTCTGCTGTTGATTCTGCTAAATCTCAGCACGAGCAGCGGTGATTCTCTCTTTACCCGCATTTTCATTTCACTTTTATGACTCACGCTCTTGCTGTCACGCTCGCACACACACTCGACTGCGGCACGACACACGTTAGTCGCTTCTGAGTGCTGTTTGTGTGTGTTGTGCTGGTTGTTTTTGTTGTTATTATTGGCTGCTGCGACGCAAGCAACGACAGCGTAGTGAATCACAAAATCAAATGTATGTGGCTGTGTAGACAAGTTGTGAGCGCTCTGCCTCTCTCTTCCTATGCCGCGTTGTCTATACGTACTCGTACTTACGTATGTTTGAACGTAAATTAACACAGTTTTTTACTTTTTGCTTTGCCTGTGTTATCTGCTTGCTGCTGTTGATTTGTTCGATGTGTTTGTTGTTGTTTTTCCGTATGTTTTAAAAATTATTTATACGCTACTGTTGTTGTTCTTGCTATTATTATTGTTTTGCTGTAACTATGCAGTTGTTGGTGTTGTTATTGCTTTTGACGCCGCTGGGCTATTAGATAATTCATACATGTATGTATGTTTGTTATGTGCTTGATATAAGCGCACTTTGGGCGACGAATATGAAAACTGTTTAAGGTTCAAAAGTTTTGGCAAAGAAAAAACACGCTGCAAATTCGCGCTTATTTGTTACTGCCGCGTCATAAAGGTTCTGAGTTGGTGGGGTTAGCACAAATTCTAAAGCATTTGCTGTTGCTTTTAGACTCCAAGTACACGCTGTGTTAATTTCGAAAATCCGTATTTTTCAGTTCTAATGTGTTTTTGAAATATTCTTAGGTTTGAAAATTTTTTTACCTTGCACTTTGCTTTTTCTAAACCGAAATTTTGTTAGCTTGAAACTTTGTTTTTTTTTTTCTCTCTCTCTCTCTCTCTCGGTTGACTCTCCGCAATTACACTTGCTGTGTCTTTCTTGGCCGAAATTCCAAGCTATTAACTTGGCTTGCTGGCGTTTAGATTAGTTATATACATACATATACTTATGTATGTATGCAAATATACTATTTATATAATATATTATTTTTTGTTTTGCTGGCTAGTAGTATACTGTATACACTATACTGCTTGAATGCAACAGGAGCTCGTCTATCTCCAGAGCTTGAAGTTAGACAATGAGTTCATCCCCACTTGCTTGCTCAAACACTTAGTTTACTTATAGCGTATGTTCTCTAATTAATTTGTTTAAAATTATTTTTTTTTTTACTGTACACGAAATGCGTGGTTGTTGGTTAGTAGCAGTCGGGGTTTGGTGTTGGTAGTTGTTTTTGTTGTGTAAAAGGCACTTGTTCGTTCCTTTTGCTCCGCATTTACATGTTATGTTAATTAGCTAAAATTCGTTGTAGTCGCGCTTACTTTTTGTCACATTTTCCTCTGACACTCGTTTTACCAATGTGTTTCTTTAGCTTATTTGATTTTTGTTTTAGTTAGCTAAGTATATTTATTTTTTAGCTATTCTTGAATTTAAGTCGACACACTCGCACTTTTATGTAAATTGGGGAATTTGGTTTGCTTTTGCTTCTATTATATTTAACTTATGTTTGCTCTTTTAATTTTCCGTTTCTCTGTCGAAGCACAAATTGACTTCCGTCGTTTATTTTTGTTCCGACACACACGTCCGCTCGTTTGCGATCTTCGAATTCGTATGAAAGCAAACCAGAAATCGACTTGTCCATTTAATCATCAATCTAATAAAATGCATACACCGCGCGGCGGCTATTGTGAATGGTTGCGACAGTCTGTGGTGGGTTAAGCAACTCACCATAATTTTAGTGCAATCCACCACTCAGTTCAGTGTACTCTCTAATAATTGCCGGCAGATGCCGCATAGCGGAAGTTTAATTAAATATAGACAAAATAAAGTCACACACATACTGCAGAAAAACAACTAAGATTAATCTCAGGGCATACAGTGAAAGCAGTAAAAAGTGCGCCAAATCGTAGAAATTAAAAAAAAAACACATCTTTCTGTATAGTCCAAGTTAGCAGAAGGTGAGCTTTCTAAAGCGCAACGTACCACCAAACGATCTCAGCCACAATCTAGAGCTTGGACAGTTTTAAATAGTCTTAGCTACAAACGTCAAAAGGGATCTCACTTGGACAGCTTAGACACTCATAAATCGGCAAAACGCATTACGAATATTACAAGTTTGTTAAAGCGGCTAATATCGAGTTTCTCTATCGCATGGGTTTCAGGTAAGAACTTCACCAACTGCGGCAAGATAAACCTTACTAAGAGCAAGTAGATTATTTTATCTCTTTCGTTTTATTCTAATGATTGTATTCTTATGATAATGAAGTAGCTTCTCTTAGTCATACAGTGACTTTCGCATAAATGCACTTATTTATTATTTATAGTTAGATTTTAAATAAGCAGCTTAATAATAAGTATTCCAAAGAATATGACAAATGACTTGATATACGATCGTTTATACATAATATATTAGGGTGGAGCGAAACAATCTTTGTTTGCTTAGCATGAGATTTGTAGATTATAAACAAAAAAAGTGGTTGGAAAAAAATTTTTTTTAAACATCTTTTCTTTTTGGAAAAAAAAAATTTTTTTGGTTTAAACCTTTTACATTTATAAAAAAATTAAAGAATTTGAAAAGATTTATTTTAACGATTAAGGAAAGCATGTTGTCGTTTAAGACTTATTTTTAACTCGAAATTTTTATTGGGCCGCCTTAGATGTTAAAAAGTTTTTTTTCCAAAAATTTTCTTGTTTATAATCTACAAATTTGACACTCAGGCTAAGCACAAAAAAAAATTTTTTTTCGCTCCGCCCTAATATATGTATATATATCGATCGATTTAGATACAGATATTGAAATGGACGCGGAAAACAACTTTAAAGATTTTTTTAACTATTTTTACATGTGGCAGTAGTGGTACCCTTAGAGGAATATCTTAAAAATCATAGTTAAAATCCCCAAGCTAAATACATAATCAATATATTTATGAATCAAAACAAAACTCATTTATTTTATTATTAAGTACAACTTTTATTGAATGCAAAACTATCGTATTAAAATGACTTATTCAATTCTAAAATAAAAATGTGAGTAATAAAACCAAATCAAATTACTCATTTCGACCTTTACAAAGGTTCAAATGCATGTGGCGTGGGAATAACCCAACCACCAAAGGCGGCTTCTAATTCACGTGCGATTTGAAAGCACAGCTTATCTCGATAGGGAGCGGCCACCACCTGAAATCCAACTGGCAAATCATCGCCATCACGCCCCATTGGTATGTGCGTCGCTGGAAAGCCAATTATATTAAAGATCATAGCATAATCTACATTCCAAAGAGCCAAGAGCGAGGAATTATTATGCAAAGCGGGTACCGGAAAGGTGGGGAATAATAAAACGCCATTGTCACCGAGCATTCGCTAAAGAAACATAAAATGTTTAGATTTATTAGTTCTAGCAAGTAATATTTGAAAAGAAGAATTTTAAAAGACTTACGGCAAACGTCGATTTGAGCACTTCAAATTCAGCTTTGTATTTCATCATAGCTTCCGTTCGCATACAGCCATTGAGCCGTCGTAACGCATCGAAGTATAAGGCCTCGTTTGAATATTCGGATTGGGTCATAACTGCCTTACTCATTTCGGCAAAATGTTCGCGTATTTTATGCGGGTTCGAAGAGTTGATTAAATAAGGAAAATCCTTCAGCAATACGAGACCACCGATTGACATTTCAAGTGAGTTTTTGAAAGCGCTCATTGACATTTGTTGAGTTTGTGAGACGCGGGCTTGTAAACATTTTACAGCTGCCATAATTGAAAGATTTATATCTTTAACAGGTGATCTATGCAAAATACCGTTGAGACCACTAAATCCCAATGCATAGAAAACCTATAAGAGTATTAATGTAAAAATAAACACATCAATGATAATTCATGAAATGGGTTTCAAAAAATTATATGCTTTAGCCTTGTTCTCTTGTAAGCGAGTGGTAAAAGAACTATATACTTTCAGGTAAATTGTATGCGAGTTGAGCGTTCGTTTACCACTCGTTGTATAAATATTTGAGAAGAATTTAACTGTACACTTAATGTGTAAATTTGTCTACCTTGTTTGGGCTATATACATATATATACTTGAAGGTATGTATTTGCCTTTATGTCCTTGGTTTCCACCGGCGTTAACAAATCCAATTTTGCAGCATTTTTGCCAGCCATGACCTCCATTAATAAACTCAAATCCCGACCAAATCGTGTGATTGGACCCAGCTGAAGATATTCAGGGCAATCTTTATCCTTGCAGCAAGGAAAATGTCCCTCAATTGAAGTGATTCCACCAGTTGGCTTATGGCCGAAGACACCACAAAATAAACTCGGATAGCGTATCGAACCACCAATATCAGAACCAATACCGAACAAGCTTGCGCCTGCACTATTCAAAGCACCCTATATAAAGAAAACAAACTGTATAAATATTATACTATATTTTTTTTCCAATTACATACTTCTCCACCGGAAGATCCACCTGGTGTCCGTCTACTGTCGTGTGGATTTAAGCAACGTTCTTGTGTTGCTGGATTTGTTTCCATACTGAAGCAATATTCTGGTGTTATGGAGACCAGTATTGGTATGCCACCAGCAGTCACCAAATTGTTCACCACTTCACCATTAGCATGACATATTATATTAGCGCGCTGACGACTACCAATGCGGAAAGGCATATCTGAAAAGGAGCACAATCATTTTCAAGTTGTCTATTATTAATTTTCAAGTACCTTTCAGTCCACATGATTCCTTAACGGTAAAAGGTACACCTAATAATTTTAGGCGATTAAAGAGTGCTGGTAATTCCGCATCTGGAGTTCTGGCAATTAATTCATCAGCTCGTACGGCCTCTTCTAGCGCTTTCTGGAAACGATCTTGCACCACGGCATGGATATGAGGATTTACCTCTATGACACGATCAAAGTAAGCTTTTACCAGTTTTACAGATTTCAACTGAAAAATATATAACATTAGCAACGAAAAAAAAAACAATGTCTGACAGGTGGGAATTAAGATTTGAGAAGTGTACATTTTTTCATTATTCTATGCATTTGACTTGGTCCTATTGATACTATTTCTCATTCCGAATATTTATTTAGGTATTCAAGCTTTAATTCTCATTGGATTCACAGGTGGGTGATTAGAGTATATAAAAGTTAAGAGCTAGCATCCATTTGGCTTTATCGAGAAATTTGACGAATAGAGAAAAATATTTGTTAGAAATATATCTGTTTCAAAAAGGAGTAGTTGTAATATATAAACTATATACTATATCTATTAGGGATTTCGAGATGAGATTATAAAATAGATGATAATTATAGCTCCAGAAATTTTACCTAAAATTCACAGAAATTGTTTGGAGAACTGTTGTTTACTCTGATTTAAATAATTATATTTAGATCTTTGAAACTCTCCTGATGATCATGCACTTAGGCGAAATTCATACTATTTTAATATACAGAGAGGTACGCTAATTGGTTTTCTAAACATGCGGCACCCTTGCAAAAAAATTTAACATAATTGTAAGAATTCTTTAACCTCTTCAAGTAGATTTTTTTGTTATGTTGCCTTTTTATTTTGCAAATTGTTTTTTTTTTTACATTTTTAAACAATCGGCCACTTTATATATACAAGTATGCTAAGTATATTTTCTATACATGCCAAGCAATTAATTTTAATCTTTTATAACTTATATTATGTAATTACACGTCAGTTTTTATTTATTTATACCAGTTAATCGAGTGTGTTAGTGATTTGTCATAGCCCGTATTTTTTTAAACATTAAATTCCTAGAAGAAGATCACAACGTTTTTGTTAATAGGTATATAATAGTACTTGCTCGATAATACTTTCTGCAGGTAAGAGTTCCCCATATATCCTCAATAACGCAGGGAATGTTGGGTTTCAATTCGTCAGTCGCAGCCGGTTTATTAGTATAGATCGCCAGAAAAAGTAGTATAAGAAAGTCAAATGACACAACATATTGTTGTTGATACACAAAACAGTAAAATTATTGATTTTTCAAAGTATACTACTCTTCAGGGATGCCTATACCGCCTTTTCAAGAATGTTTGCATTCCAAATTTAACCAGAAATGTGCCTTATCGTTGAGAATGAATTGAGGATAACCTTGTATAGGTAAATGAAACTTTGCCATATATAAATCATTTTGGAAATAAATATCTATGATTTTAAATATTGTTAGACATAAGTCTCCATGGCTGTTTGCCAAAGTATACTGTACATAAATGTCAAACACAAGTGTTTGCTTTGATAGGACTCCAAGAAATTCTACGATTATATCTCTAGAAACTACAATAATCCATGCCAAATTTCGGAAAAATATCCTGTCAAACACAAAAATTCCATATAAGAACATGATTTTTGTGCCGTTCAATTTGTCTGGCAGCTTTATGGTGCTTCAACCATAAGAGTTTTCGCATGGAATATTTTGTAACAATTTGTGAAGGGTATTATAGCTTCGGTGCAACCGAAGTTAACGCTTCTCTTGTTTTTTTTTAAAGTTATACCTAAAGCGCCTTCTTCGCAATTCGACCGAATGGAGTTTTGTTAATTTGCATGTAACCATAGATATGTAAATGATCACATCATTCTGGCAGCCTTGAAAAGAATAACAATGTAAAACCAAAAAAACAACACTTTGAGATGGAGGGTAATGACGTGATAAAAGGTAATATCAGTAAAAGTATTGCAGCAAATGCAAAATAGAATAAATGACCTTGTAAATAATAAGTAATAAAAACATAAAACGTTAACCTATGAGCAGAAGAGAGGAATCGAAAGTGCAACTCCTTATTATCTTTCGATAATTTTTCCGATTTTTCGGTACACAAAAAAAAAAAATTATTAAAAAATAAAAAAAATTTATATTTTCTATACAATGTTATAAAGATGTTGTTAATGGCAATCAAACGAGACTTAAGGCAGTTTTTAATTTTCATCACTTTTAAATTTTTTGAGATATTTTTCCTGAATACCTTGCGTTGTGTGTACAACTCCAACACTTCGCCCACTGAAAGCGTCAATAATCTGTCGCGAATCGGCGGAATCGTAGACGGACCTTTGCGCGGTAAAAAGAAGCACCATAGCGGATAAGCTATTATATAAAGAATCTTGAACATTAATTGCAAGAGACGTAGAAAAACCTCCATCTTTTCGGCACAATAAAATTCGTAAGCAAATAATGAAATACCGAAAACTAAGTATCCAACGAAATTCTATGAAAATTAAGAATTTGTTGTCGTAACTACACCCGTAAATGTTACTGGTACGCTGGAGTGAGCGAATCCTACTGATTGAAAATCTCGCGCTCATATTTCTTTAACCGATACACGCTACAATAGTATCGTCATTAAGTTCAGCTTCTCAACAAGCCGGTCTTATTAGCATATTTACTAATGCGCATATTTGCAAGTGATCTCTTTCTTTATAGGCATTGCGCTGCTGTTGAGAGTACTATGTTTTTAAACAGTTTAATATATGTTTGTAGGTGTACCTATATAAAAATATTTATGTGAAAGGGAAATAGGTACATATATATATTGAGAAAATGCTCGGCTACGGTTAATAATAAAAGGCTAATTAATAGAAGTACGCATACATGTATGTCTTAACTTTAATTTCTCCTTGGTTTCACTTATCGTACATACGTGCCCAGATAATTAGAAGCGATTTTGTTTTGCAAGTTTCGACTATACTTTATTTATGCTTATTCTTTGAACAGGGTATATTAAGTTTGCCACGATATTTGTAATTCTCAGAAGGAAACGTTGGAGACCCTATAAAATAATATACATAAATGATCAGCATGAAGAGCTGAGTGGATTTAGCCATGCTCGTCTGTGTGTATATACGCGATCTAGTCCCTCAGTTTTTGAAATATCGATTGAAATTTTGAGCATGTCCTTTTCTGCCACGAATTACTATCCAAAGGAATGGTTAAATGTCCGAAAAAAATATTCAATCGGACTGGTACATCATATAGCTGCTATACAAACTGACCGATCAAAATTAATTTTCATGCACTTTTATGGCATAAGAAATGTACATGTGAAGGGTATTATAGGGAATTAAATGAGTTTCAGTTCTTTTTCCATTTATTTTATAACTTGTATACAGCTTCAATCATTTCAGAGTGTCTAAGTATAAGTTATGTTTAAGCTAGACTAAATTGAGACTTTTTACGCACCCCAAGAACTAGTTCTATTATTGCGTCGTTCACAAATTTTTTCAAACCAATTTTGATACGCGTTCGGTCAACACATCTTCTCCGTACACATCATTGCATTCTTACCCTTTTGATAGTAAAACCGTAAAATATGGCGAAAATGCTGTTTTCCGATCTTTCATTTTTGATAGGGCACCAAACAAAAACTATTCCATATATTTTAAAAAATTTTCTCACATAACTGTTGTCATCAAACGCAATTACTTAGTGAACAACCCAATATATTGTGGTCGTAAGATATTTGCTGGAGTTCTTTATTAAATGTGAATGCAAAGTGAATACGCGAATATTTATACACCATATCACCATTTATTAATCATTAAAATTAATTTTTACCCTTAAATTAATATAAAAAACTATCATTATATAATCATTATCATATCAACAATTTATTTATTCTATTTCAACTGTTCAAGTTCGTGTGCTGTTGGTATAACCCAACCACCGAACGCGGCTTCTAATTCACCAGCAATTTGAAAGCATAGCTTATCCATGTATGGCGCTGCGACCACTTGAAAACCGACCGGTAAGCCGTTATCATCATGTCCCATAGGTATATGGGTAGTTGGAAAGCCAAGTATATTGAAAATCATACAATAATCTACATTACTAAGAAACAATATCGAAGAATTATGATGAATTGCAGGTACAGGAAATGTAGGAAAAAAGAAAACGCCATTTTTGCCGAGCATTTTCTAAAAAAAAGAAAGGGATTAGTAATTTGAAATGGACAATATTTGGAAATATGAATGACTTACAGCAAACCTAGTTTTCAGCACCTCAGCTTCAGCTTTGTATTTCAATATATTTTCCGTGCGCATTGCGGCATTGAAACGTCTTATGGATTCAAAGTATAAAGCATCTCTGGTGTATTCCGATTTGCCTAATATTGCTTTACCCATTTCGGTTAAACACTCAATTAAGTTTCTTGGTTTTGAAGTGTTGATTAAATAAGGAAAGTGCTCTAGTAATATCCAGCTGCCGAGCGATATTTCGAGTGAGTTTTTGAAATCTCTCATAGATGTCCGCTCAACTTCGCAACCGCGACTCTTTAAGTACTTTAACGCAGTCAAAATGGAAAGTTTCATTTCTGCTTCGGGGGAAGTATGTAAAACGCCATTAAGTCCATCAAATCCAAGCGCGTAGAAAATCTGTGGGAAAAATTAATATTAAACGACTTTTGTTATTTCGAAGTAATACTTGTCATATATTGTACAAGAATCTACCTTAATATCCTTTGTTTCCACCGGTGTTAGTAGATCCAATTTTTCAGCATTTTCACCGGCCATAATTTGCATAAGTACGCCCAAATCACGGCCAAACCGTGTAATTGGACCCAACGAAAGGCTATTCTTATTTTTGGAGGCTGGGAAATGTCCTTCAATTGAGACAATACCACCTGTGGGTTTGTGACCGAAGACACCACTGAATAAACTCGGATAGCGTATCGAACCACCAATATCAGAACCAATACCGAACAAGCTCGCGCCTGCACCATTCAAAGCGCCCTATATAAAGAAAACAAAGTGTATAAATATTATACTATTTATTTTTCCAATTACATACTTCTCCACCGGAAGATCCACCCGGTGTCCGTCTACTGTCGTGTGGATTTAAGCAACGCTTTTGTGTTGCCGGATTTGTTTCAATGCTCAAGCAGTATTCCGGTGTTAGGGAAACAAGTAATGGTATGCCACCAGCAGCAACCACATTGTTCACCACTTCACCATTCGCGGAACTTATCAGATGTGCGCGTTAACGGCTACCAACACAGATTGACATGCCTAAAAAAATGTATTTTGGTTAAAAGCACGGGGTGTATATCTATACTAATATTATAAATGCGAAAGTCCGTTTGTTTTTTACGCTTTCACGCAAAAACTACTTAACCGATCATCATGAAACTTTGTACACATACTCTTGAAGGTGTCAGAATGAACATAGGATACCCTTTATTAAAAAATCTGTAATTTTTTTACGGATTATTACAAAAGTTATTTTGGAGGATTATATATGTTTGTAAAATAAATTTGAAAATTTTGAATTTTGAAAAAAAAAAGTATGGCAGATATGAAGTTATTGGATCAATGGATAAAAAATGTCAGCATTGTGATGCTTTTAAATGGAAAGATGAAACTGCTGGAATGTGCTGCAGCACTGGTAAAGTTTCACTTCCATTACTTGGTGAATCAGAAGAACCTTTAAAAACCTTATTATTTAGTGTCACAGCTGAGTCAAAACGATTTCTAAGGACGATTTCCTGGATTTTCACCAACCTTTACTGTATAAGGACAAATATATCATCAAATTGAGACATAGTATTACGAGCACGTAATAATGCATTAAAGCGCGTAGCTGATACTGATAAATTTGATGGCGCTTCGCAGTATCCATTAATTTTCAGTAAAGGTGAAACAGGATATCATTTCAATATTTCAGTCATCAATCCGACAACGAACGAGCCAATTCCAAATAGAAAAAGTTTCCTGTATGGACTTTTATGCGTATTATATGATGCTTCGAGAACATGACTTCAATCTTCTTCTGCGTACAAGGCATCTCTTCACTCAATTTTTAGTAGATATGTATATTAAAGTAGAGAGTGAACGTCTTCGTTACACATCTCTAAATCAGAAAAAATTACGAGCTGAAAATTACATACATCTACACGATGCGATTAACGCAAATGACAATATTAGACCTAATGACATTGGCAAAATGGTTATTCTGCCGTCCACTTTTGTGAACAGTCCCCGTTATCTGCATGAGTACACTCAAGACGCATTTACTTATGTACGAACTTAAGGAAGGCCTGCCTCTTCGTAACTTTTACCTGTAATCCTTCGTGGCAGAATGTAACTCAAGAACTTATGGCTGGTCAAAAAGCAACTGATCGTCACGATATAGTTGCTCGCGTATTTCGTTTAAAGGTTCAGAAGTTAATGAGCGTTGTGACTAAAGGAAAAATATTTGGAGACGTCGAGTGCCATATGTACTCACTCCATTGAATGGCATAAACGAGGTCTACCACATCTGCACATATTGATTTGGTTAAAACAGAAGCTACTTCCTAATCAAATAGACAAAATAATAAGCGCTTAAATTCCAGATACAGAAGAAGATAAAAATCTGTACGACACGGTTATTAAAAACATGTTTCCCGTCAAGCTTAACTGTGCCGTAACTATAAACAAAGCACAAGGACAAACATTACAGGTGGCAGGAGTGCATTTAGAAAAGTCAAGCTTTTCACATGGGCAACTATATGTAGCCTGTTCGCGTGTATCTAATGCCCGGAATTTACACATATTTGCACCCAACGGAAAAACGTATAATGTAGTTAATAAAAATATCCTTGAATAATCATCTATATTGCTTATTTTTAATTATTAAATTTCAAAATTATTTATTTTCGTTATAGTGAAATATATTTTAATCTTTCTTGTATTGCTTCAATAAAGTATATTTTAAAATTTTAAAATTCATTATATTTAGTTAGTTTTGCAAGTAATCCAAGCCAAGCAATAAAATATATTATTTCTATTGATCCGTTTCTACTATAATGATATCTGATACTTATTTGATGGATTCGATGCGAGCGAAGCCGCGGGTAAAAGCTAGTTTTTTAATAACATTTTTTTACCTTTCAATCCGCACGATTCTTTTACCGTAAAAGGTATACCCAATAAGGTATAGCGACTAAAAAGTGCTGGTAATTGTGCGTCTGTGGCTTTGGCGATTAGTTCATCAGCTCGCACAGCATCTTCCAGCGCGCCTTCAAAACGATCTTGCACTATTGCATTTAGGTGAGGATTCACCTCTTTGATACGTTCTATGTAAGCTTTTACGAGATCCACAGATTTTAGCTGAAACGTTGGAAAATCAGCTTAGTAAGAAATTCAGGTAATCCTAATAAATTGATATAATATTTTCGACCCAAATAAAATCATTTAAAACTGTCATTAAATGTTGAGACGTACACCAACTACTAATTACGAAAAAAATGTTCATAATCTAGGCTTGATAACTCCCTTCCATGTGGATGATGAATTCATATGGTTAATTTCAAAAATCATCTTTCAAACAGTAAAAATGCGTATCCCACAAATTACTCGAAACCAATACTTATGCAGTGTAATGCTTACTGACTTTCTAACTGACTTTATGTTGTGTATAAATCCGATAAAATTATGTGAGAATACTTTATTTAAAAGAAAGTGGTTTGGTATTGAAAATAGAAAGCATAGGATCTTCGCTGCATATATGTTATGTTTTACCCAGATATTTTAACCAAAGGACTATAGGACCATAGCCCTTTGACCTATAGCTATATATGCCTCAATATATACGCAATAAAGCGACAATCGGTTGTAATAATATTGCTACATTATTATTACCAATTTCTTATTCCATTATTAAGTGGTTGGTATTTTAAAGACAACTGCACTCCTCAACATAAATGAAAATATATTTATTAGAAAAATAGAAATTTTTTTTTTCATAACATTTTTAACTGAACTTCGTGTTGATAGCGGTATTAGATCACACTGTAAGTATGATATACACATATATATCTGTGACAATGCAGTTTTTACTGTCTTGCATGCTAAGTGTCCAATTAAACTATTAACGTCGCGTGCACTATTATAGCTATATTTAATTTTTATATTTGTATAAGTCTTAATGCCGTTATTACTTCAATCTCGCTACATATTTTCATATTTACAGTTAATGAAATACCCAACCTTATGAGTAATCTTTTATTATTTAATATTTATTAATTTAGTCTTATTATACCCTAGACAGGGTATATTAAGTTTGCCACGAAGTTTGTAACACTTATAAAAAAACGTCGGAAACATTATAATCAGTATAACTAGCTGAGTCGATTTAGTCATGTTCATCAGCCCGTGCGTCTGTTTATAGTGAACTAGTCCCTCAGTTATATTTGTCGGAACAGCCGTTATCGGACCACTATAGCATAAAGTTGTCATACAAACTGACGAGATATTTTCACGAAATTTACGTGGGTTATTGCCTAAGGCAATAATGCAGTCTCCGTCTATTCGTAATTTCTTGACGAAAATTTTCACACAGATTTCATTGCGAATGGACGAAAAACAAGAAAAACTATAAATCAGTTATCAATTCAGCAATAAAATGTTATATCTGTTGGGGTACGTGTGTATTAAGAATTATTAATATACGGGCGAACTCACGTCTTTAGTATAAAACCTTCACAATATGAAAAGTAGTTAATCGATGGATCTGTTGTCTTAACCCCGGTAGATTATGAAGCAATGGGTCGCATAGGTGTAAATCTTTCGCTATCTTATACCCAAAATAGTGATTTCTGCTTTCTGGTTAGCTTCATACGCTGTAGTGAGGGAGGTATATCAGTAATACTTGTATACAGGTATTAAATATAATATATATATTTTGTTTGGAATAATGTGGTTCCGTACCAAAAATAAAAGATACAGTTTTTTAGATCCCTGTAAGTACTTCAGGCATTGTTAATTTTTAAAAATTCCAAGACAATGCTGCACTCGAACTTAGCTCCACCTTACTTGTTTTATTATGTAATTATTGTAAATCAATTTGCAGGTAATGAAGCTCGAAGTAATTACAATTATTTACATAAACGCCATTACAGTGTGTTATTGCATTAAAATTAAAATATTAACGATATTGCTGGTACGAATCGTTATTAATAGAGAATAACATTTATAAATAAGTTAAGGAGCTTTAGCGTAATTCACGTATACAGTCTCTCAAGTTCTCTAGCGCTCCCTGGTTATTGTCCAAACTAGTATTTGTTTTGCAGGAGAAGAGAGCTTGTCTTGTTTTCGCTACTCGTTACGGGTTTTAGGTCAATAATAATAAATAAAATTCAAGAGATTCCTAAGTGATATTTTACATGACCGTATAGGTTTTATAAAGGTATTTTACTTTATGTGCTCTCGATGAATTGTTATTGAATATACAAATATTGGTTACATAGTGAATATTTGAAAAGAATATATTATATATTCTTTTGTTAGAGGTTAAGTAAGTGAATGTGAAGTGAGTTTTAGGATCAATCTTCTTGTGGCTGGGAATAAACACAATAATACTTTGAAGAATTCAAGAATTCATAACCAATTGAAAGTATGTACAATTGCCTATTCCTTTAAAGTCGTGAAGTCGATATGCTACTTAACATATACTAAAAATACTTATTTACTTTCCGTCTAATCAACGTCTTGTCTATGTGCAGACAAGAGTAGATTTAATAAAGAAAAATATGTGAAATCAATCGTCAGTGTTGTCCTCAAAAAACCTACTAAATTAATTGCCTTTGGACTAAGCTATGTTCTGACTTGAATAATGTAAATATCACTTATTCCTATTATCCAAACAGGTCCAGAAGTGCATATTACTCTTTGACAACTGTGCGTTCAAGGCTACTTAAGGAATGCCTAACCTCGTTATCAATGGTATCTAGTCACTTTGTGATAAAGCTAGTATGAGTCAGAGGTCACAGCGTTTTTGCAGGTAATTGCAAAGCTGACGAGCTGGCAAGGAAAGACACCCTAGTCCCGCGATAAGTAGAATGAGAACGATTCTCAAATACTTCCTTCTTGATTGACCCATGTTTGCGAAATCAAGACTGAAACATTTGGGAGCTCACACTTTCAGATATCCCACCAAGCTAGAAATAAAATGCCTAAGCAAATTTGCATTGGCTACAAGCCGCTTTGGCGATTAATAAGGTTAGCTAATATCGTACAGGAGTTCTACCATTATGAATCTACTCTAACCTACTATGATGATATAACGTAAATTGATCTCTCTATAACAGTAATTTTTTACTAACCGCACACCCTTATGTGACATTTACCGTAGATCATTAATTTTTCAAATTGCAGTCTTCTAAAAATCGATAAACCTATATCTCGAACAATTAGTGTAATCTTTTTACGAAGAAAATTATAATTCTGACTTATTATTTTCTGACTTTTATAGGATATAAATGATGCCAAGTGGGCTTGCATCCTTAATAAAACAGAAGTAAGAACTCCATTTTTAATGAATTTATTTTAATTTTATTTTTTGTTGTTGTACACTCAGCAACTCCTGCCAAGTTCAGCAAACATAAAATATAAAACAACAAAAATATGCTAGTGAAGGAAAAAAAAGGAAAAAAAAGAACTCAACACCGAAATTATGAAGGATTTTTAGTTGCGTGCATTAACTACTACTACGAATGAATGAGCGAAGCCTACTGATCGCAATACTCCAATTAGAGTTCACTTGAGGCACAACGCTACAATCATCGTGTGTGATACTCGGCAAGCGAGCAATTGAATTAAAGTGCACGTATTAGGGTTGTACATTTGATGTTTAAAAAAAATATTATTTGAATGAAAGTTTTATAATATTTAGTAGTTTACTTTTGCGATAAGAATTTTTTATGTATTTATATTAAAAGGAAAAACGATTTTTATTTAAAAATTGCCTATAAAAATTACTAAAAATATCAGAATTATGTTTTTCGCAATTTTTGTTCCAGACAAAATATGAAAACAAAAATTTTTCCAAAATATTTTCGCTTACATTGTACAATTTTTTATCCTAGTCAAAGGATGATCTAACAAATTTTTGTAAACAATTTTTATTAAATCCACAATTTCAGCATTTTTCACAAATAATTTGCTATGCCTGTATTAACCTAGAAACTTATATTAATTACTCAGTCATATATGATGACTCCGACTTACCTTGAAGTTTTGCCGATTTAAAGTTAAATAATTCTGCATTTGCTCAGCCTCTACAGCAAATAGTTTTCTTCTTATGGTACTTCTTTAAAGCTAGAACTAATAATACATACATCTAAATTTATAAACCCGCGTTGTTTAATATTTTGGAAACATTTAAAAAAATGGATATCCCTAATACACACACACAATCCCAATCTAAACATAAGATTGTAATATAGTAAAGCGAAGCTTTTCCAAAAATATGTAGTGCAACAAAATAAAACAAATCTTAACGAACATAAAAGTTTAAATAAAATATCTTTGCGACGAACTTGAAATGAGTGAGAGTAGCGCCGGCATTAGCTTTAGCAATCAAATACGTAATTTTAAACTGTGTACTAAATTAATATATATGGCATCTAAAAAAAACAACTTATCTATAAAAAATTACTCAGACACATATGAATCTATGGAAAAATTTCAGATCGGTCTCTCTCTCGTTCTCGTTGATCATTTATATCTACACTTTAGACGGACTGCGACTTTTTATTCTGGGTGTTACAAACTTCGTGGAAACTTTTTATACCCTGTTCGGGATATAAAAATGGTAGCCAAGATTTTAATAAAACACTATGTTTAAAATTCGCTTTATAATTATCAACTATGGAAAGCCTAGGAAGTTGAATATCGACATGTATTTCCACTACGGAAAATCTGGACTCACAACAGTCGGGTCTACGTAACCGGAAAGGATTGTTTCAGAGTGTATAGTAGTTTCATTTTCCTAAAGGTTGTTTATGATAACCCAATCTGAGTGAGATTGCTATGAAGTTATACGAGTATATATTAAAATAGTTACACTGGACAATTGTATGAGACAATTGACCACGACTACTCTCTGCAGAAAGTCAATTTGAATTCCATCAGACTTTGCTCAGCAAATCAGCTGCTCATTAGTCGGAACCGGCGATGTGGGATCACTATAGCATATAGCTGCCATACAGCCGAAAGATCAGAATACAGTGCTTGTATGGAAAACTTTTCCAGTTGACGACGTATCTTCACGAAATTTCGCCTGTATCATTATCAAAGCAATATAAATTTAAATAGTAAATAATAATATAATGAATATATTTTCCAGATCAGACGACTGTAACTGAACGATCAGAATCAAGTTCTTGTAATGAAAATTTTTTTATTTGATAAGAAGAACACAAACCATAGCAACATTTATTAAGTATTACAATTATTTAACTTTTAAATTCGCATAAAAAACTATCAATATTAAGATCAAAACAACAACAATTTAATTCGTTTATTTAAACGGTTCAAGTTCGTGTGGTGTTGGTATAACCCAACCACCGAACGCGGCTTCTAATTCACCAGCAATTTGAAAGCATAGCTTATCCATGTATGGCGCTGCGACCACTTGAAAACCGACCGGTAAGCCGTTATCATCATGTCCCATAGGTATATGGGTAGTTGGAAAGCCAAGTATATTGAAAATCATACAATAATCTACATTACTAAGAAATAATATCGAAGAATTATGATGAATTGCAGGTACAGGAAATGTAGGAAAAAAGAAAACGCCATTTTTGCCGAGCATTTTCTAAAAAAAAGAAAGGGATTAGTAATTTGAAATGGACAATATTTGGAAATATGAATGACTTACAGCAAACTTAGTTTTCAGCACCTCAGCTTCAGCTTTGTATTTCAATATATTTTCCGTGCGCATTGCGGCATTGAAACGTCTTATGGATTCAAAGTATAAAGCATCTCTGGTGTATTCCGATTTGCCTAATATTGCTTTACCCATTTCGGTTAAACACTCAATTAAGTTTCTTGGTTTTGAAGTGTTGATTAAATAAGGAAAGTGCTCTAGTAATATCCAGCTGCCGAGCGATATTTCGAGTGAGTTTTTGAAATCTCTCATAGATGTCCGCTCAACTTCGCAACCGCGACTCTTTAAGTACTTTAAAGCAGTCAAAATGGAAAGTTTCATTTCTGCTTCGGGGGAAGTATGTAAAACACCATTAAGTCCATCAAATCCAAGCGCGTAGAAAATCTGTGGGAAAAATTAATATTAAACGACTTTTGTTATTTCGAAGTAATACTTATCATATATTGTACAAGAATCTACCTTAATATCCTTTGTTTTCACCGGTGTTAGTAGATCCAATTTTTCAGCATTTTCACCGGCCATAATTTGCATGAGTACGCCCAAATCACGACCAAAACGTGTGATTGGACCTAATTGAAGATACTCAAGGTAATCTTTATCCTTGGAGTCTGGGAAATACCCTCCAAGCGAGACAATACCACCTGTGGGTTTGTGACCGAAGACACCATTAAATAAACTCGGATACCGTATCGAACCACCAACATCAGAAGCAATACCGAACAAGCTTGCGCCTGCACCATTCAAAGCACCCTATATAAAGAAAATAAAATGCTTAAATACTATACTATTTTTGTTTTTAAATTACATACTTCTCCACCGGAAGATCCACCTGGTGTTCGTCTACTGTCGTGTGGATTTAAGCAACGCTTTTGTGTTGCCGGATTTGTTTCAATGCTCAAGCAGTATTCCGGTGTTAGGGAAACAAGTAATGGTATGCCACCAGCAGCAACCACATTGTTCACCACTTCACCATTAGCAGAGCTAATCAGATGGGCGCGTTGACGACTACCAACACGGATTGGCATGCCTAAGCAATTTTTAATATCGTTTAAATCGTAACATGTAATGTTCTTTACTAATATATTATTACCTTTCAATCCGCACGATTCTTTTACCGTAAATGGTATACCCAATAAGGTATAGCGACTAAAAAGTGCTGGTAATTGTTCGTCCGTGGCTTTGGCGATTAGTCCATCAGCTCGCACAGCATCTTCGAGCGCACCTTCAAAACGATCTTGCACTATTGCATTTAGATGAGGATTCACCTCTTCGATACGTTCTATGTAAGCTTTTACGAGATCCACAGATTTTAGCTGAAAGTTGGTAAGTCAGATTATAAGTTAATCGTTTTATTAAAGTGGTTTGAATAGTATTTGCAACACTAAAATAACATCGTAATGGCATAACACGGCAGGCATCAGAATAATGTGTTATTAATCAGATAAATGTCCGAGAGTTTTACTAACTGCTCCGGTAGGTATGATGGGTTGGTTTGGTTAAGCTGGTTGGCCATCTTAAGCATCTCTACACCAGGCGTTGAAGATAAAAGCAAGTAAAACAGTCCTTTCATATAGACCTTCTAGGGTCAAATCTTAAAGAAACTTATCATTAGTCTTATATATTTTCCTATAGTCCCGAATGTCCTATCGTTACACAAGATCGATTTTTGCTGCACCAATGATGATCGCTTGAGATTAATGCGCTCATAATTAAACCTAGAAAATCCGTAGACAATCATTTCGAGGTTTGGTTTAAGTCTCGGTGGAACTCGACATACAAAAAAAAGCAACCAGTTAACGTTTTCATTATATTGTACATTTAATTTCGATATTGACAAATCGAAATTAAATAGCGGTACTTTTTGGATTGCACTTATAACATTTTATCATCTTATGCTACAACATGTAAAAGGAAAAATAGTGTACTAACCACGCTTACCTGCTATTTAACACCACATAACAAGGGTGTGATAAGTTCTCTTACGTTAAAAGACTCTGCCGAAGATGAGTTATATCACGTCCACATATAAATTGTTTCAAAAATTGCTCTAAGGGTTTTGAGTTTTATGGAAAAATTCATATCTCACTAACAACTCGACTGGTTTATGCCAAATTTGGTACATAACATTCTACTTACACCTTGTTTCAAAACGGATAAAATTGAACTCAAAACACATCCATTTCCAGCAGAATGCCATTTTTAATTCTTAACTAAAGCATTAATAAAGGGTCAAACCGAAACTCATTATCGATTTTATTGGTAAATATTGTTTAGTTTGTGAGATATATCTATAAAGTCATGTTTGAATAATTCACTTAAGATTATGTGATTTGGCATTAAAAATGACCGAAAACAGCGCAAGGATTTCTCTTGATTTTAAAATAGATGTTTTGGATATAAAACAATATATATTAATAAATCTAGATCTAATGGCACATCAACTGATTAACTCTTTTAATAAAATGTATGTAAGTTAACGCCACCGCTCGCACATAGCACAACATAATAGTTTAATTGAAAAGTAACTCTAAGCAATAACAAAATATCGCCAATCACTATTTGTAAACAGATTTCGGTATACAATTCTTAATAATAACTAAATTGCAATCCAATAGACTCAAGGTTAAAGAATTTCATCATTTGATGAAATTCATATTAAATAAACAATAATAAATAGTATAAATAGGCTTAAGTGTAAAATAAGAAGAGGCTTTTTCTGTAAGAAGGCGGTTCTGTAAGCATGGCTGAATAAAGTTGAAGTAACGGCTTAATTTGTTTTCTTTTTAAAAACATTTCGCGGCCAGGCTAAACAATAAGTGCGATCCTGCCAGGAGATGTAAAAAAATTTCTTGAACTGAAATAAAAAATTTTTGGCAACCAAAAAAGGAGACAAAAATCTCCAGTTGTCCAAAATAAAGAAACAAGTATCGTAATAAATACGAGAAAAGTAAAATAAAACCCGAAAAACTGAGTATCAAATAAAGGAGATAAAAATCTCTAGTTGCTTAATTACAAGAAATAAGTATCGTGAATAAAATAATACGAGAAAAAATAAATAAAAAAAAAGAAGTAAGAAAAAAACTTTGAAATTGAAGGAGATATAACAAATACTTATTAACGGTGATAGTGACCAGGCATCAACAAGGAGATATAACAAATAATTTTTAACGGTGGTAGTGACGAGGCAGCAACCAGGAATAAATACAGTTAAGTACAAGTTCATGTATTTAAAATACTAATGGGAAATAGTCCCTCTAAGTTAGGATATCAAAGATTATATTGGTGTGATAAGTGTAGGGCCAATCACATTCATTCCAAGTGCCCAAGGAAAAAATAATAATAAATAAATAAATAAAAGAATTTGTTTTTAAATAAAAAGAAAACTGGAAGAAGTAACAAAAAAGTTTTCCGTAATGGCCTTGGCAAATAACGGTAATAATTCGATGAATATGGATGTGGTGTCTAGGTTAATAGCAGCTAGTACTGCTTCATTGCGAACAGAATTGGAGCAAGTTAGGCTCCAGCTTAGGAATTTAAGCTCTAATAATAATGTAACTGAATATTCGGTTGAGAGTATCGACTCGACCATTCATTGTGATGAGAGTTTAGATGTCATAAAATCTCTTCCCGATTTTAAGGGAAAAATAAATAATTACGTTAGCTGGCGTGAAGCCGCCAATAACTCTATGTCGCTTTATACCAGGGGAGTAAAAATACTTCGCAACTTTACAATACTGCGCAATAATTAACGCAGGATGCCAATGACATCTTGACAAATCACGGCACTGTCCTTAACTTCGACGCTATTTTGAGTCAATGGACTCGCATGCCGATAAGAGACCCTGTCATATAATGAGGCAGGAGATGGTATACTAAGACAAGGTTCCAGGACCTTAATAGAATTTTATAACGAGGTAATAAAAAATAACGTTATTAAGTAACAAAACAATTATGACTCATGGCACGAATTCTGCACTAAACAAGGAATTAAATATTAAAAATAGGGATACAACCCTACGTACTTTTATAACGGGACTTAATCCCCATTGGATCAAATTCTGTTTACGCTGGCACCAAAGATTTCCAAACGCTCTTGCTAAGCGCAAGAATTATATTCAAATCAAATGCGAGCACAATTTGCTTTGCATTTTTCAAGAAATAGTCAATGATAAATTCAGGGTCCTTCACAGGGAAATCAGAGGGCTCACATTTTCAATAATAATTTGAGGTATCCATAAGGACGCCACAGATAATGAAGTTACACAAAATCGTCCAGAACCGATGGACGTGGATCAGTCTTTACAAATATTAAATAGGCCTAGCCCAAGGCGAACAAACCAGTCGCAGGTAAGGGTAAATAGGGGTCATTATCAGACAAATTACCAACCAAATAACGTACCAAAAAGGGGAATGATAGTGCTCAAATCAGCTCTCAACCTCAGCAGAGGTACAGAGATTAATAATTTAAACGAAAATCATTTTTAGAGTAAATCTCGATTGCCCTATATTATTAAATCGATAAAAAAACGGGGCAAATATTAGAAATTAATAGATATGGAGGCAACCAGTTCATATATACAGGCGGGAAAATATACTAATAAAAATATTTTAGCAATTAAGAAGAGGGTAAGGACCAATAATGGTTCGACCATCATACAATATTACCACAACGTCGAACTGTTTGGGTTTCAGGAACGGTTTTATGAAATTGATAATTTAGAGAGTGATCTCTTAATTGGAATAAATTTCTTAAATAAAATCAGAGCCAAGATTGATATTCCAAATCGAGTATTGATATATGGTGATAGCCAAATAGAAAAAATACATTTTCTGGATGATTTAAACAATTTAAACCCCTTGGGATTCACAAATCCTAAGGCGCCTGCCGATGATAATACCGGCTTATCGAAACAAAAATTTAAAATAAAAAATATTAAAAACAATTTAAACCCCTTGGGATTTGAAAATCCTAAGGGGCCTGCCGATGTAAATACCGGCACCAAAAAAACAAAACGCTTACTAAAAGCTGATTTTGGGAATAAAATAAACCAAAAAGAAATTGAGCATGTTTCCGACATGATTAACAACCCCGATCAAGTTTCAAAGATCGAAGGACCATCAGCATTGAATGATGAAAGAAAAATGATAAAAACATTGCAAAATGAAGCAATTGAGGAAATTTTCGAAATACATAGGAATGTAAACTTATATCTGCCCTTTCGTACTGATGTAAAGGCGGAAATACGAATAACTGAGGATAGACCAATTTGGTCAAAGCAATATCCTTATCCAATGTCAGTGAATAGATTTGTTAATGAGGAGATTAAAAATTTGTTGCAAAAGGGAATAATCAGGAAAAGTAAAAGGCCATACAACTCTCCAGTATGGGTAGTTCCAAAGAAAGGTATGAATGACGACGGAAGTCAATATCGGATAGGTACCCGATGCCAAACCCTGAAGTAAAACTGACAAATTTGGGAAAGTCAAAATACTTTTCCACAATTGATTTGGAGTCTGGATTTTACCAGATATTAATATAAGAAAACGATATAAAAAAACGGCATTCTCGGTTAATAATGGAAAATACGAGTTTTTACGAATGCCGTTCGGATTGAAGAATGCGCCGAGCATTTTTCAACGAGCTATGGATATTGTGTTGAGAGAATATATAGGGAAGTTCTGTCATGCGTATATAGATGACGTTATAATTTTTTCAAAAAGTTTAAAAGAACACAAAAAACATTTAAATTTGATAATTGGAATGTTAAGGGGGGCAAACATGAACATATCGTCTGAAAAATCATAGTTTTATCAAGAGGAAGTTGAATTTTTGGGATATGTAGTAGCTAAAGATATTATTAAAACAGATCCAAAAAAAAATATGTATATTATGTATTAAAATTAAAAGCTGGAGATCATTTATTGAAGAATTTTCACCAAAAATTATTTATAAGCCAGGGGCAACAAATGTCGTTGATGATGCATTGTCAAGACAGATACTAAATAACATAACTAGCTCTGAGGAGTCAGATCGTTCAGGTGATTCAGTAACGAATACTCAACATTCAGCAGAAAGTAGTGATGAGTATCACATTCACGAAACAAAGAAACCATTAAATTATTTTAAACAGCAAATATTGAATAACGATGGAGCAAGAATAACAGTCTTGGAGACGATTTCTTATTTTAATAATAAGCGATTTTTAATCAAGTACGACATACCACAAAATATAATTGGTGTTTTGAAAGAATATATAAATCCAAAAATAGTAACGGGAATACATTGCACACCTCAAGTGCTTTATGAAATAAAAAATGTGTTAAGGGAAGCATTTCCAGCGATACAATTTTTTTATACAAAGTTATTCGCTAATGATGTGACTAATAGAGAGGATCAGGGGGCAATTATTGAGCAAACGCATAATAGAGCACAGATTATAGAGAAAATTAGCACAAATTATAGAGAAAATTTGGCTCAAATTAGGCAAGAATATTATTGGCCGTTAATGGTAAAACAATTGAAGCAATATGTGACAAATTGTAATATATGTAATAGTAATAAGTATGAAAGGCATCCGAAATTGATTCCAATAGGTGAAGCACCAATACCAGAAAAAGAAGGAGAACAACTCCATATTGATATATTTTTGCACAAAAATTAAAGTTTAATACGTGTTTGGATTCTTATTCCAAATATTTGGTTATCAAGTGTATTGAAGATAAACTAAATTTGGAAGATAAGGTTTTGGAACTTTTGCAGACATTTCCAGATGTTAAAAGTATAGTTATAGATAACGAACCGGGGTTTAGTACGATACAGTTCAAGTCTTTAATGGAAAGATTTAATATACAAATTTATTATTGTGCACCACGTCACAGTACTAGCAATGGACAAGTAGAAAGGGTTCATTCGACATTGGTGGAGATTTCTCGATGTTTGAAGAAAGAACATAATTTGATAAGTGATTACGGATCAATTATGAGGGCAGTTCAGCAGTATAACAGAACAGTACACTCGGTAACAGATAAAAAACTTTATAATGTTTTATTTAACAAAGAAGCACATGGAAATATGAGAGAAATATAAAAAATGCTCAGGAAAAAATGTTGAAGTACCATAACAAAAAACAGATTCAAAAAAGTTATCATAGAGGGGAAGTTATATATGAAAAAATATATGGGGAAAGAAATAAATTAAAGCCCAAATATAAAAACAAATAGTAATAGAGGATTTAGGAAATAGGGTTAAAATGTAAAGCAGAAACAGAATTATTCATAAGGATAATATTAAAGTGTAATTTTATAATTTTATAGAATCAATGGGGACACATAAACAAATTGTATTGTTGATGTTGTATGCTACAATTATCACATCGGATATAATTGATTATACAAGGGAACACTATATACTGATAGAGGAGGAAAATGCAGCAATTTTTGAAAATTATGGATCACTGTATCATTTGACTAATTTATCGCTATTTGAGAACATTATAAAAAACTATAGAATCGATGAGAAAATAGTATTATTTGAAGATTTGAATATGGATTTTGAAATACAAATGATAGAAACGTTATTAAAAAAATTATGTAATCCACAACAGCAGTACATACAAGTATGTACTTCAATCATTCACATTTATAATGGATATTTTGTTTGACACTACGGATATAGACTATTCTCAAGCCATATTTAAATTTAAACTTAAACTGTTTGTTTACCTTTCGCTGTCGCATCAATTTTATCACTTCCACTAACGGAAGTGTTACCAGCTGGTTGCGAATTGGCGGTATGGTGGATGGACCTTTGCGCGGCAATACAATGTTCAAGAGCGGATGAATCACCATAGATATTAATTTTAATATGCATTGTATCAATCGTAGTAAAAACTCCATTATTAATGAATTTTATGAATTTTTTTTTTTTCAAATATGCGTTGCTGTACTTTCAGTAACTCATGCTAAGTCCAGCACACACAAAAAAAAAAAAACAACAAAAGTATGCTAATGAAGGAAACAATAAAGACAAAAAAACTCAACACCGAAATTATTGTGTATTTTTAAGCGCGCGCGTTTACTACTTCTACGAATGAATGAGCGAAGCCTACTGATCGCAATACTCCAATTGGAATTCACTCGAGGCGCGACGCTACAATAATGTCATCGTGTGGGATACTCAACAAGCGAGTAATTGAATTGAATAACTGCTCGCATTAGGCTTGTACATTTGACATTGGAAAATAATTTTAAAGAAACATTCTGTAATATGTTGAGGTTTACTCTTTGCGATAAGAACTTTTTATGTTATTTTAGTAAAAAAAAAACTCTTTTTATCAAAATATTATTAAAAGTAATAAGAAATTCTTAAAATTTTGCAGTTATAAAATATAAACGTACGTAATATTGATCACTATATAACTCCTGAGCGTCACACATAGATGGCGCTAGTTCTATTGAATTGCCCCATTTTCAGTTAGTACTAATTTTTAAAAGTCAGCTGTTAAAATTTCGCTAAGAGTGTCACTACTTTTGTTATTTTAAAAACAATGGATGATAAACAATTTCGTATTTTAATTCTACACCGCTTCTTGATGGGATGAAATACTGTTCAAGCGATGCAATGGCTTGAAAAGTGTTATGGGGATTCCGCACCATCAGAAACGTGGTCGCAGATACACCAATGATTCAAAACACAGTGGACGTCCAAATGAGGCTGTAACACCAGAAAACATAAAAAAATCAACAAAATCGTTCTGAATGATCGAAAAGCGAAATTGCGTGACATAACATGACCAAATATAACATGACCGTTTTGATGGTTTTGAGCAGTGTTTGGTCATGTTTAAACGTAACAAACCAGAATTTTTGCGTCGATATATAACAACGGATGTAATCTAAATCCACCAGTTCACTCCGGAATCAAAACGATCGTCATTTGAGTGGGCATCAGCTGATCAACCTTGCCAAAGCGCTCGAAAGGACAGCAATCGGCTAGAAAGTTTATGGCCTTGGCATTTTGGGATATGAAATGTGTAATACTCATCGACTATCTTGAAAAGAAAAAGAAAAACCATCAATAGTGACTATTACATAGCGTTATAGGGACGTTTGAAGTCCGAAATTGTAAAAAAGCAACCGCATATGACAATGAAAGAAATGTTGTTTCACCAATACAACGCACGGTGGCACAAATCAATCAAAACAATGAAAAAATGCACGAATTACACTTTTAATTACTGCCGCATCCACTTTCTTCTCCAGATTTGACTCCCAGCGTCTAATGATTGCTCGCAAACCTCAAAAAAATGCTCACCGGTAAGAAATTTCGCTCGAATGAAGAGGTTGTCACTGAAACTGAGGCATATTTTAAGGCAAAAGACAAAGCGTTCTACAAAAGTGGTATTGATATGTTAAAGTTGCGCTGGAATGATTGTATCGCTCTTAATAGAGATTATATTGATTAATAAAGCCAATTATGAATAATTTTTGTTTTCTTTGTTAGGCCCAGGGCTTTTCGGCCCATGTGTTAAAAATTCTTTATTGCTTTCATTTGCGATTTTATTTTGAATCCAATCAACCTTCTGCGAAGTTTTATCGATCGTTTGATTAAGTTTGTTGTTTACCGTTTTAATTCTACATTTCTATTTGAAATTTGAGAAAAACCTTTTATAATCAGCCTCTACATCATTTATTTTTCTTCTTCTAGTATTTCTTTAAGAAGAACACAAATCTTTTAAATTTTTGGACCAATTTTGTATATAATTTTGGTAATATTTTGAAAAAATTTACATCCCTAATACAGACACATAATGACATTCAAATGATAAGATTGTCGGCACAGTAAGGTTAAGCTGTTAATAGAGTATATTCGAACAAACTTAAAAGTTTGAATAAAAAATCTCTGAGAAGAATTTTAAAATTAGTGAGAGTAATATTAGCGCCAGTATTAGCTTTTATGGATAAAATAATCCGAAACTCTTGATATGAGTCGCAAAGTCCACATTTTTTATAACATTTGACAGTGGTGCCATTAAGGAAAGAAATAAGTTTTGAGATTTTTAAATGTATTTCTTGGGTATTTTTCGGACGTGAAATAAGGTGCTCATATTTCTTGCCAGGCGCAAACGTTTAATAGCAATTCAAACTACATACGTTTCTATGGTAAATTTTTACCGAGATAAATTATGATACATTTAAATGAGACAATTTAAAAATAACTGTCATCGATTTTCCAGACCTTTATGAGTGTCGAATCCAACAAATAGCTGCTATAGATGTATTTCTGGAGATCTCTTCATCTTCTATACCTGAGCTTATTTGAAAACAAATTGTAACTCAGATATCGCTTGGCAGGCGTTTTGTTGGATAACTCATCACAATTATATGGTAGTCAGCGTAGTTGTATTTTGTAACTTTGGCACGATATTGTGTCTAAATACAGTTTCACTGCTTAAGCTATCCGTATTTCTAGCTACTGCTTTCATACATTTCTATATTTAAAAATACTAATAAATGATAAGCAGTTTGAAATTCATAAATTAATATATGTATAATACGGTTCCTTATTTTCGAATTTGTTAAAAATGTAGCGAATTGATAAGATTGCCGGTATAATAAAGTTAAGAACTTGTGGATCCAGCAATAAAAATATCAAGAGAAAAACGAAAAAACTGAAAACTGATAAACCGTTGTTATGAATTTCAAACTAAATGAGAGCCATACTGGCGCCAAAATGAGCGCTTGCGCCCATGGAGAATATGTAAAATTTCGAATACCCTAATATTTTCGATACAATATTTTTTTCTGTTGATATTTCATATAATAAAGTTTCAATGTCACATGGTATTGAAATGTTATTAAAAAAATTGTTTTTTGTTGTGTTTTTTTTTTGTTTTTTGAAATTTATATAAAATTGCTATTTCTTAGTTCACTTTATAAAAGTAAACTATAGAAAGCCGAGTGAATTAAATAATATCGACATTTATTTACCACTACAGATAACCGGGACCCACGACATTTGGGTTTAAATAACTAGATATGATTTAAATTTTTATCCGATGACACTGTAAATTCGGCAGCATTTCTCAAAATTATTTGGGTCTTGATTTTCTGCTGCTAAAACAACAGCTGTTTCGGTCAGAGTAAGTGTCGGGCTTTTTTCTACGAAGTGTTTGAATTGATAAAAAGTTATAATAATTAAAAATAATTTGTTTACGAGATAGTCTTTGAGTCGCCCAGATGCCTGATAATACTAATATCGTTTGAAGAACAAGTTCTGTGTTTAAACTATGCGAATGGGAAAGTTCGAATAGTGGTATTCATCGTCTAAATTCCTTGTCTTGATAGAAAAAACAAATAGATTTGTTGAAAAACTGGTTAATAAATAGGAATATGAAAAATTCATACAAATATAAACAGATTTGTAGAGACGTTAGTCTATTCTTTTCAATTCTTCCTTCGAATAGACATTTTTATATTTTCTGCCGAAAAGATGGTATATTTTAAAATTTTCTCTTATTTAACAAAAATGTCTTCTTTGAAAACGCGAGAATATTTTCGAACTAAAGAGATCCTTGCTATTGTAGTATTTATGGTTTGTTTTGAGTTTCGAAACTACTAACTATAATTATATTGTAATATAGTAAATTTTTCACAAAAAGGATATTATAGTTGGAATTGGTTCTCGCAGAGCATCGACGATTTAATCCACAGAGGGACCACGAATTCCTTGTTAACACTGGCAAAATCAATAGTTACCTAACAACAGACAGGCAAAAAAGCCTGAATTGTACGTGTGTTATTTATTTACTTTTCAAATATTTAGAAAAACTGCCTCGTGTGAATAATTATTTTGTTTTTTAGAACAATGTGCTTTTTTAGTTTTATTAATTTTTATAAAAAATTTGCGCAATAAAACATTTGAGTTGTATTTACTAAATTTCATTAAAAAAATTTACTATTACAACCACTAATAGTGAACTTTCGAAGCCATCTGATATCGAATCAAAGTCTAAGCTTACTGAAACATTAAAGAAATATTTCAACTTCTAGCATGGTTAATGTATGTATTAATGTAAAGAGAAGAACTTTTGGATGGTACATTAAACACAGTTACAACTAAAAGGCGAAAAAGAGAAAGAGTGATAAAGCTTAAACCCTTCTCTGCTAGAACCACATTGAAAGCTTTAAAAAGCTAATAAGAATCATGATTTTAAATCATGCTGCAGTGGTGGCACCCAACCGCCGAAAGCACCCTCCAGTTCTGCGGCAATTTGTAGACATAGTTTGTCTTGGTATGGCGCAGCAACAACTTGAAAGCCAATCGGCAAACCTCGATGATCCAAACCCATTGGAACATGTGTGGCGGGGAAACCCAGTATGTTGAAGATGAGCATCAGATCCACGCCCACCAAATTTAACGTGCTGGTATGGAAGGCAAATGCGGAAGTGGGAAATGTGGGCAATAAGAGAACGCCATTGTCACCAAGCATTTTCTGTAAAAAAAAAAAAATTTATAGTTATTATATAATATAATATATTAAAAAATGTGAAATGGTTTGTATAATATAAATAGACATACCACTAATTCTTCCTTCAACGCTTCTCTTTCGTCGCGAAATTCTTTTGCTTTCTCTTCGGATAGGTAAATTTTTTTCATTCTTATCCATTCCATTATTACAGCGTCACGATTGTGTATCGATAGTCCAAAGAGTGATAAAATCAGCTGCCAAATTAGTTTACTGACTTTTGGTTTGGCTTCGTTTGTTATGCTGGGTAAACCTTTTATTTCCGCGAGAGCGCTTAAACCGATTTCTCTAGCATGCACGAATTTATCCAATTTAATCTATTTCAGTAATATATAAAAGAATATTATAATTTATTGATTTCATAGAACATAAGTTATGTTGAATAAGCAAAGGCTGTAGAGATTCACATGGGAGCCAAAATGACATATTCGGGGTTTCTTAATGATTTCAATATTTTGGAACTTGGTTGTGAGAGAGCGAGTTGACCACGGTGGGGCATTTCCGTTTACAAGAAGATCTCGTTAATGTTGCCGAGTAAGTTTGCACGTTCTACCGAAAACGGTCTCCACTTCCGATAACTCAAGTTGCCCAAACTGAGTGTGTCTCAGTCGTCACAAACCAGTACTTCAGGGCACAATGTTGTTCCATAGACGTCGTCGAAAATATCCAGCATTATGACAAACCGTGAAATTACAGCTTTATATTTAAATTAGCCTTAAAGCTTGAAATTAACAGACAAATACTTGCCCGAATTTCGAATAGGAATGTGCTTTATCTGCCGATTATCGATTTGAAAGAAAAAATAAAAGCATTTTTCTTAAGTTTTGAAGTAGGCGATGTAGGCAACCATATAACTTTTCTCAATAAAAATATGCTATTTTTGGCCCTCTGCCCTCTTCATTCTTGCTTTCTTGTTGACTTGGAAACAGAGCATTTTCTCTTCACCATATGTCTACTCGCTCCTCTTCCTATCACTACCACTAATTTTTATAATAGAAGAAAACTTATAAAAATTCAATGTCTTGCCTCCTCTGTGGTAAGTCCACCCTTTTGGAAGCATTTTACTGCTCTGGTTATGGCCAGACGAATGTCGAAATCAGTTGGCTGGTGCATGAATGCCGCAAAACCGTTAAAACCGTAAGCATAGTAGATCTGTAAAGGAAATTAAAATTTTTTTTTTTAAGTTTTTCAAATACTTCATCATTCATTTCTATACCTTTATGTTCTTCAATTGAATTGGTTCGCCAAATTTCAATTTCTTTACATCTTCACCAGCCATTACTTGCATTAGTATGGGTAAATCTTTAGCAAAACGTGTTATCGGCCCTGAGACCAGGTACTGTGCGAAAATCGGATCGTCGCTGTAAGGAAAGCTACCCTTAATTGAAACCAAACCGCCGGTCGGTTTATGTCCAAATACACCACAAAACATCGAGGGCAAACGAATTGAGCCGCCAATATCCGAACCAAAACCGAAGACTGAAGCGCCTGCGCCATTTAAAGCGCCCTGTTGGCAATATAATGAAAACATTGTCTCCTATATTTGAAGATCCAAACAAAAACCAGCTGTTAATTATTTTACCTCTCCTCCAGATGAACCGCCAGACACTCGGTTGAGATCATATGGATTACGACACTTTCCATACATTTTGGAGTTCGTTTCGTAGCTCATGCAAAACTCGGGATTTGCTGAAACTAAAAGTGGTATACAACCCGCTGATCTAAGGCGCTCAACGATTTCATTATCACGTTCACATTTCTTATTCGCGCGATAAATATTGCCGACAACAAACGAAAGACCTATGAATAGAAACATAAATATAGAAAAGAGATAAAAATATAAAAATATTTCTTCAGGCCTTTGGTTTCTTTGCGCCTCAAAGTTCTTTGTGTGCTTTGAATTCTCAGTTAAAAACTATTAATTTACTAGGAAAAGTCGGGCTTTGATACAAAAATTAATCTAGGAACAGATAATTTGGAGGTTATAAGTTTATCGAGGGTTTTAAAACCCTTAAAAAATATAACAAAAAAATGTAAGAATATATGAAGAATAACATGGGTTCAAGAGAATATGTTAAAACGTCTATATTACACATGCTACACATATGTATAACACAATATCCGTCCGTGAGCTGTATTATGATAGTCAAATCATTTAGTGTCTGGGAAGATATGTACGAGGAATTACTACTTTAACAGTATGAAAATCATTGTTTTGATAGTTTAGCATAATCTTAACTCAGACTTCGGCATCTTAGTTTGAAGAACTTTATTCTAAGAAAAATTAGGGATGAAAAGTTTTATGTTAGCGGAAGGTTATTGGATTTACAACATTCATTCCTTGTTTCATAATACAACAGGAAATGTGAGAAATTGGGTTATAGCCATGCCAATGCTGTTAAGTTCGAAGCTAGTACGTTAGTCGAGTAACCTTTAATTCACGTTGTATAAATGCAAGAGTCACGGTCTATTGCGTTACAAAGATAAGATTTTCCATTAAGACATCTCTCTCCTACAGTTTTGTGATTGCTTGGCGCAGTATTGTTTGAGCACGCGTCGGAGATAAACACCAGTAAAGAGAAAATACGCTATATTCTACAGTTTTTTTTAGATACAAAAACTAATGCCAGGCAGCTGAAATTGTGTATAGTGTTTATGGTTCTGATACTGTAACAGCCAACTGTTTCGATTGCCCAAAAATTGCACATAAGGCTAGATACAAGAAGAAGCTCGATATATGGGTGTCACTCGAGTTACCACAAAAAAATCTCATGAACCGAAAAATCAGCAGATCGCTGGCAGTGGCAAGCGAAAACGGTCGTGGTCGAATCACGGCGAGCTGGCGCAAGTGATGGCGAAGTCGGTATTAATGGTTAAAATAAAACATAAAAGCTGACCTTAAGTGTCATCTCGCAAATGCGGAAATGTTATTTATATGGTTTTCAAAGCTTTATGAATCATTACATATTATTCGGTAATTTATTGGTAATTATCAATATTAATGGTTTGCGTAAAATAAGTATTAGAGGTCTCTAAAAGCTTAGAAAGTTCAATACACGCACGGTCTACAGTTTTCAGCTCACCTTTCAATCCGGCCGACTCTTTCACTGTGAACGGTATACCCAACAAGGGGTAGCGTCTGAAGAGTGCGATTAACTGCTCGTCATTGGCTTTGGCGATTAAACTATCCGCATGTTTTGCATCCTTCAGCGCTTGTTCGAAGCGATTGTCAAGGACGGCATTTAAACTTCCATTGACCGCCTGTATTCGTGTGATGTACGCTTGCACCAGCTGTTGGGAGGTGATCTGCGAAATACTTTATTAATCAATATGCTATTGTTATAAATATTCAAAATCTTTAATACCTTTTTTTGTCGCAGCTCTACAATTAAATCGCCTACAGATTTTAGCAGCACTGCATCTTGAATTGGTGGATAAGTCGGCAGCTTGCGCGGCATTAGCAAATTAACGAGCGTGTTGACGATACAGCAGATTAAATTGCCAATGGCAAACATAACACGCAACATGACAAGCATTTTACTGAATACGGCATGCAAATATGATCTCCTGGGAAAGTGTATGCAAAAAAAAATTGTTTTTTATTTAGTATACATTTTATGGAAATTAGCTCTCTAACATTTCGGGTGTACTTTACTCTCTATGTATGCTAATGCAGTTAAGTCAGAAGTTTTCAATAAATTAATGCAGTAAATTAAATTAATTTATTTTTCAGATTTTAAAAAAGTTAACCTGTACTATTTCTTTCCTCCAGTTTAAAAAGCAAATCGTATTATAAAATCTAAAAAAACTAAATTTTGGAAGAAAAGAGTTGTTGCTCGTGATGGTTTGTCAATATCAAGGTTGATTTTGTTTTTATACTTCCGCAACATGTTGCAACGGAGACTATAATAGTTTTGTTCAACTAACGATTGTTTGTATCACCTCAAACTAATCGATATAGCTATAGAGCTGTATATATATATAAATTGTCAGGATGACGAGAATTCCGAGGGACTGTCTGTTTGTTTGTCCGTCCGTCCAAACAATAACTTGAGTAAAAAGATATCTTAATGAAGCTTCATAAACGTGTTACTTGGCACCCAATGTCGTTAACTCACTGAATAAATGCGCCACAAGCTCCAAATTTTACAACCAAAATGGCAGGGAAGGACTTTATAGCATTTCTAGTGGTATGAATAGTTTACGATGATTTAATCTGATTTATTTTATAACTTTTCCAAAATTTCGTTCTCCTAACGATGTTATTAAATTCTACATAATCCACTAACATGTGGATAGGCCAAACGAGATTTTAGAGACTTGTGTACAATATATATCGCTTTGCTATATAAATGTATATAAACTTAACACGCCCTCAGTTTCACAACTATAATGTTTCCAGGGGGGCACTTGAGACCTGTCTTTATTCTTAACAGCTGGCGATCATGCTTGCTTAGGTAAAAGTTAAGTATATTACAATGTCCAGGTCTTACTTGTAGAATATTACTTGTGTCTCAGGAGGATACTCAATCTCCTTGTTTACATTATGTGGTACTTTGGCTCATATAATAATATTATATTCACACAATATATATTTACAAGCAACTAAGGTAGAAATATGCCATTCAGGGTCACATAGAACTCTGGCATAATTTCTCAAACACAAAACAAGTTAGAAATGTTAATAGATTTCGTAATATTTCACACTTTTAAATTCTCATAATTTGCATGAATAGTTAATATTCGGTTTCACTCAAACTTAGTTCGTTCTTATTTGTTAAATTTTATATATTTTATGTTTTGGGCCTGAATGCTTGAGCAGTGTATATTAAGTTTGCCACGAAGTGTACAACATCCAGAAGGAAACGTCGGAGACCTTTTACATTTTTGTGTAATCGATCGGCACGATCAGTGTCTCCGTCTGTCTGTATATACGCGAACTAGTCCCACAGATTTTGAGATATCTGAAATTTTCCACACGTCCTTTATATCTCTTAGAATTATTAACACTATGCCCTTATATGGAAAGTTTTTTTATTTGGCGAGTTATCTTCAAGGAAGCTTGGCATGAATTATTGTCCAAGGCAACGGTAAAATCTCCGGAAAATATTTTCAAATCGGATCACTTTAGTGTATAGCTGTCGTACAAACTGATCGATAAAAATCCAGTCCTTGTATGGAACATTTTTTAGTTGACGAGATAGCTTCTCGAAATTATTGTCCAAGGCAAACGTACAATCTCCAAATAAATTGTTTAGAGCGGACCATTATAGCATAATGCTGCCATACAAATTGACAGAGCAAAATTAAGTTGTTGTATGTAAACTCTCTTATCTGTGAAGGGTATTATAGATGCGGTGCAACCGTAGTTAACGTTTTTTGTTAAAGCTTCGTTTCGGAAATTATTTTAGTACTTTTTATATTGGCGATCAAATAAATTCTTTACATTGTTTTTTAACGCAAGTGATTAACATTTTTTGGTTTTTTTGAAAAATCAACTTCACATTAGCTAGCTACATTTTTGAATTCTAATATAACTGTTATTGTATTTAATTTTTACATATACATTTTTACACAATTTTTCTTTAATAAAGACACACTTTTCTTCTCATTCATAAATATATTTTTTCTGCCATAAATACATATGAGTATTATTTATTTTAAATTTACTGTATTTTTTTTAGCGTAAGCGATTACTCACTATTCGCTAAGTTAAATGTTTACTATCGTAAATCCTCGATTCGATCGCTATGTTGATTGCGTTCAGCCCGATTTGTGTAAATCGCCCGTGTCGTTGTTGTTTTCACCTTCAGTACGCGTCCACTACTGAGGTGCAATCGATTAGGCTTAGCCCCAGTAGGGCCAACAGAACGTTTTAATCAAATGCCCATATTTGCTTATCCGTTCCAACATATGTATGTACGTATTTAGTCGGATTTAAGTACAGGTACTTATAAATTTAGTATCATTACAATTACGCACACCCAGTCAAAAGGTCAGCTGATGTATAGCTTTTTGTTGTTTAATTTTTTCGCTGTTATTTGCGTTATGAGACAAAGTTCAATTTAACTCACTCTTACCTTCAATGCATAAATTTTTGTAAGTAGCGAAATCATTTGCTTTAAATGATTTGCAATCACTAATATATTCCGCTATGCAGTTGTGCTACTATATACATACATATGTATATGTTTGTATTACTATATGCAAAGATTTGTATGTGTGTTAAATTCTATTTCAAATTGTTATTGTTGTTGTTCGGTTTCTAAGCAGATTGCACGCCTTAATGTGTTGTCATTTGATGACACAGTATTTGCTAGTTATCAAGAGTGCATTGTTTAACCCCTTCGGAGATCAGAAGACGTCAACTTTGGTGAAAGATCGGAGCTATATTTTGATATAGAATAAAAGTGGGCTTGCGCATGCGGTAAGAAGCTTGCTGAATCCTATGTCAAGCAGAAAAGAAGGGAAGATTAGAAGAGATATAGAGAGCGTAAGAGAGAGATATACAAAGAGAGAGAGGGAAGACTGAGAGAGAGAGAGTAAACTTCGGCGAATCCACTTCGTGGGTAAAGTATAAGCACAATATTATTTTCAAAGAGATATAATTATAATAATGAGAGTATGAGAAATTTAAACTTAGCAAAACTGGTTACTTAAAAAAAAACGATGTCAAAGTAACTATGAAATTTGATAGCGTTCCCTAAAAATAAACCAATTGACAATTATTGGAGGCATATGCAGCTGGAAGATGGTATGAACATACGAAGGTGCCTCTAGTTAACGGCCGGTAATTGGGAATTAGAATATATAATAATAAAGCCTTATATAAGGCTCTAAAACGAAGAGAAAAGACACCTTTGAAAGAGAAAAAGAGAGAGACCGGGACAGAGAGAGAGTGAGAGGTATAGCGAGAGAAAGAGAGAGTAAGAAAGAGAGACAAGAAAATCATTCAAAGTATCCCCAATTGAAGATTCCAAAAGATCCAATAGTCATAAGAACGAATGAGCTAAAATCCTGTCTAATGGTTCCTTCCTTAACAAAAAAAATGTGGAAAACGGTTGGCCTCAAGGGCCATCCCTGCAACTTCCCTCTAATTTCATACGCTAACGTTCAAATTTCGCTTTTTTCACTGCTTTCGAGCTCTTCGAAATTTTTCGTTTTCGATATCTAGCAAGTAAATCAACCGATTTCGACCCGGTTTGCGGCAAACGATATGTTTCTTCAAGGTTTAGAACTGATTAGTTTTTGGTGTCGATCGGTCAAGTCGTTTGGAAAAAATTCGAAAAAAACGATTTTTCAAATTCACGATTTTCTCGAAATCTACTGGTCCGATTGGGTCCAAACTTACACGAAATTCAAGTGCAATGAAACCCTTTGGAATGCCGTTTAGTTTATTCAAATCGGTTGAGCAGTTTAATAGTTATAAGAGGGTCCCATACATCCACACACATCGTAGAAATGTTCGGGGAAGCTTCCTCGACCCTCAGAACGTCGAGATCTGTTGAGAACTCGATTTTTGCAAAATGGGGTGAAACCAATATCTTCCCGATTTTTAGAAAATTTTCCATTTTCTTAGCGGGAAGTTAAAAATTTTTACTATACAAGTATGGTGAATCAACCAGATATTGGTTCATATTATTCGGGAATATATATTGGGTCAATAATTTTATTCGTGTGGTTTGTCAACATATGGCATAACTTGATTATTATTCAATTGTTCCAATATTCCGAACAAGTGTTAGAAAGTTACTGTCTACGTATTTTCATTATTTCTCAATATATAACCATCTGCCGATCGTCGTCGTATTTTGTTCGAAATTTGTGGTAAGCATGATTTAGGCAGCCATTTTAAAATGTTTAAAAGCAATGAAATTGGGTGCCATTTGAACTTTATCAAAGGGATATTCAAAGACGAATTTGCTTCTTTAACGACTACAAAAAGAAGAATCGAATCAAATTGAGACTGGTGAGTAGAAATGTTATCTGGCCAACCACCCATATCAAAAACAGAATATCCATGATGTCAAGACAATGTTCTGTATTTGGTCAGCAGTGCGTGCTGCATTATGGCTTCAAAAACCGGGTGAAACCATTAATGGGGAACGCTACTGACAACAACTTGTCAAATTCGTTGTCGAAAAACGCCCGGAATTTGCGACTAGACACAAGACCATTTTGGAAAACTGCGGCTGATGTGTGACTTGAATTTGATAACTCTTCAGCGAAAATAATTGAAAAAGAAGAACAGTTATCTCATTTGATAGACAGCCAGACATTTCAAGTTGGGTAATGAGCGTTATAGTTTTTTAATTTTCGACAAATTTGGACCGAAGTTGTTCATTTAATTGCTGTTCTACTTCGATAAACATAAAACATTCTATGAGGCTTTTATTGAGCGTATATTTCCATAGTACATAGTTGAACAGAAGTTATCGATAGTAAAAGCAACTACTTGTGATATTAGACATTAGAGGGTTAAACTATGTATTACATCGACTAACTTATTATGTTAGTCTTATATAGACATCATAGGAATGTCGACTGTTATAATTTTTTTTTAATGTACTATAAGTAATTATTTCTTTGTTAATAATAATAAATATGCATGTGGTGGTAGTGTGATATTTGGCATTAGAACTAATGTATTGAATAAACTTATTAACAATAAGCTAAATCTAAAAACATATAATATTCTAAACTAATATTTACTCGTCATTTGTGTACCTTATGTGAACGTAAGATATTACTTTCTCAATCACAGCTCAGTGGAAATTGATAAACTATTTACTGAGCAATTGAATGCATTCAACAATTCCGCTACTGACTGCGGTTATAAAATGGGCTTTAGAACATGTGGCGGCTGACAGACGCAAGCTGCTGGGTAATTTAAAGCGGGTTTGTAAATTTTTATGCAATTAATTGGCGGGTTTGTCGTTTGAGTAAAACAAGTGTGTTATTATATAAAATTTTCTAGATATCGACAGCTATTAAATGTTGTTTTGACAAAGCGTTTTGATTTTATGATATTTGAACGAGTAAAAGCATAACTGTTATTAGCAGATATCGTTGTTTCTTATTCTTGTTTAGATATGTATTATTTAGTAAATATTAGTATTAGTATATGCTTTTAAGCAAGAACAAAATTCATTGAGAACAAATGTTTTTACCACCTCTATACATGGTATGAAAATGGACGAAATCTGGTGGCAACTCCCCACATAACGGTACTGTAAAAAACTACTAAAAGCGATCAATTAAGCACTAAATACGCCAGAGACATTAAATATTACCCCTGGGATGTTATGATAGGACTTTATAGTAACATATATATTGAATCTTGTTATGGTGCTGGATATGTTATAGAAATTCGAAGAGAATCCTTTTCTGATAATAATATGTCTGTATGTCAAAAATGGGTTGTATCGGGTTATTAATTCCTTCAGCCCTCATAAACCTTATACTTGCAGAATGATTTTCGAACTACTGGCTGACTTTTTATCGCATATTTATATAATATTGCATATACTATAGTTTAATGCCGAAAATATAAGGTTGTCAAATATCTCCCTTCCGCTTTTTTGTCTTTTGAATTTCACGGCTATGTACAAAGCGCTACAGAGCTCGTATCTGGCAACACTATACATAATTTGATTGTTATTTTTCAAGTAAGAAAGATTTCTTATCTTATATAAGCGCCTACAGAACTATGTGACACTTTTCAGTGAATGCCTACCTTTTTCGCACATATCCACATCAAAAACTTTACCCCTCTCATGCCTAAATTACAATCGCTGCAGCTACTAAATATTTGAGGACAGATTTGTATTAAACGTGACGCGAATATGAACTGATAAAAGTTTGAAAGTTCATCGTGTCCTGGTTGGTTCCTGTATGTTGCCTATACTGCAACATTTGTCAGTGGTGGTAAAGTTAAGAAAAAATATATAAAATTTTATACCCTGAACAGGCGATATTAAGTTTGCCACGAAGTTTGTAACACTCAGAAGGAAACGTCGGAGTATATATTATATATATATGAACAATGATTTAGCCATGTCCGTCTGTCTGTATATATGAAAACTAGTCTCTTAGCAACGGAACGAGGTCTACGAAACTCGGAAGGCTTTATGTTGATAATATCGAAAGTTTTTGGATGTGTTTGAAAATGACTTAAGGTATAACTTTCATACCACTTAAATGGGTGAAAAAAAGAATGCCTTTGTAATTAAAATGCAAACTCGTTTTTGTTCTAATAATATTCATTAATAATCATTTATTTAATCTGTAATTATTGTTTTTTGTTACATTTTCCCTTTTCGTATTAAATAAAGGAAATTAAAAAAAAATCAATAAATATAGAAATTGCAACTAAATCTTGCTAACGATTTAAAACGGAAATTAGAAGAAATATACACTTATAGACAAACAATCGGCTATAAGTATTAAGTATAGTGTATGTAAAAAGTAATGGATATTTGTAATTATAATTGTAGGCAGCACTGAATGTTTGTATATATTTACATAAATACATATGAGTATATAACTTGCTTGTATAAAAGTAGTAAGCATACAGCGTATTAGCAGCAAGTGGGTGCATAAATTGCATACAGTAGCAGTCAAAAGTCATAAGGTATACGTATACAGATTTTAACCAATAAACTTAATAAATATGTACAATATATGTACAGCTTTATTGACATTTACTCCGTCTAATATTTTGTGGACATATGTAAGTGGTAAATATTTATGCAATGATATATATCAGCTTCCTCTTCACTATATTTTTGTTGTTTAACTCATCATCACTGATGAATTAGCATTGATATTAATTTATGCAGTTTGCTAATAAATATCTTTAATTAGCTAAAGGTGGTGTTTAATAAAACGTGTGGTGTGGTGATGTAATATTGCATTTCTATTTTCTTTGCACACCCCTTTGGTTGTTGTTATTGCCTGAATTCCTTTAATTATTGTTTACTGTTGAAGTAAATATTAACTTTGATTGTTTTATTGATTTAAAAATATTTTTCATTTCAATTATTTTTCTAATAATATTCATCCATGAATTTGCCATTATTTGCGTTCACTATAAAAAGCACAGTTTTTGCAAGTTTATGGGAAAGTTGTGCTTGCATGTTTGTACAACCGGTTTGTGACTTGGCTGTTATTTATTTTGTATGTTATAAGCAGTTATAAAATGAGTTTGAAGCCTCGCTGTTGATTGTATGGTTCGTATGTGGATCTCACTTGGCGTATACGTAACTTTTAACAGTGTGACATAAATATGTGAAAGTCCTGAACTGTAAATTTTAAGTGTTAATGTTTTGTGTGAAGAAAAAAAAATGATATTTCCAATTAAAAATTTTAAGAGGCACTTCCTTGATATTTGGAAGACTAGTATGCCTCCAAGCTTTGCAAAGCAGTAACTAAACATAATTTATGCCAAATATTGGCATTAAACTGGTGGTCAATTTTCATGAACTGATCTTTTGATCTTTAATTGGCTTAGCATTTTAAAACTGAAATGATTTTCTAGGCATAAATACTTTTTGGTAATTTTTAAATACTAACTTAAATATTTCTAACAAAAGTTGCCTTGTACAAGGCGGTATTTTAAGAAATACTATATAGTAGATTTAGAAATACTAGCAGTTCTATTAAAATAATTAAATTATTATTGAAATAATATTTAATAATATAATTGACGATGTGAAAAGAATTTGACTGAAATAGGCAGGGCCAAATTCTGAAAACACTAAGACTTTGATATGACTGATATTGAATTTGAAGACTTAAAAATTAATTTAATTATACAGTTTACGGAATCAGAACTGTAAAATAAATTACTAGTCTGTAAGAAATTCATCACATTTTCATAGCATAATTTTTGGCGTTCACTCAGAATGAGAAAGGGATAGCCTGTACGGAAAGAAAGTACGCTAAGAGGTTTAAGAGAGAGAAAAAGTAAAAATAGAAAAATTGTATTGACCTAGTTGGTCCTCTGAAAGAAAAGAAGAGACAATTGAAGATCAAAAGCTAAAATGATTTCGCGAGAGATTCACTTTAAACACTTCAGCACACATTATCCTCTAGTTGCTTTTTAGAATCGAAACAGAAAGTGTTAGAATGACTTGTCAATTAGTCGTAATTAAAAGAAATTAACTTAAAAATAAAATTTATCAAAACTTTCAGAAAATGTATTCTTCTCGACTGGTATATTTTGAAAAATAGTTCTCAAGAGTTCTTCTCTAATATTAATAATATTAGTTTTAATTCAAATAACTGGAAAATTCTTGTCATATAAGCGTACTTTATCAGATAGAACTCCGCTTTATTATATTTTTGCTAAAACTCAAATAAACTGCTCTATATTCCTGTTTATAAATTGCTAGAAAAGCTTAGTTTCGATGAAACATGTGAGTGAAAAAATTTCTCTTATCTGAAATATACAAAATATGCTAAAAGTAATGTAAATTGACAATTTTATATAATTAAATGGGTGTTTTTTTTTACATTTTTTATTTGCAATAAATCATAAAACAAGTAATAAGATGGCCAATGATTTATTTGTTCAAATTTGATAAATTTTTGAATTTGAAGCCAATTTCGCAAAATGGCCAACGGAACTGCGTCTTACAAACCATTAAGAATCGTCTGCATGTACATATGTATATATATTGTGGTATTTGATATATTTGATTTTATTTCTAATTGTAAGGTCGATGGAGAAATTCTCGGGTGTTTTTGACGTGTGGTTTTCAATAAGGCAATACTTTTTTCGAAGTTGGTTTTTTTGACAGCTGCTGCTTGATTTATACTCAGTTGGTATTGCCATTTTATAATGAGTAGACTTACTCCGGAACAACGTTTGCAAATCGTTCAAATTTAGTACCAAAGTAATGGTTTGGCGCTCGCGTCCATTATGCGTTGAAGCTCCCAATTGGTTGAATGAGTACGTTAATAAACAAAATTGTCGCATTTGGAGTGATGACAATCCATAAGTCACTGTTTAGAAGCCGTTACATCCCCAAAAAGTCACTGTTTGGTGTGCTCTATAGGTAGAGGGAATCATTGGTCCATATTTCCTTAAAAATGAAGCCGGTCATAATGTTATGGTATAGTAATTTATTTAGGTGAGTGCATAATCTTGCGTCGTATGTCTCTAAGATTATGCAATTTAATACCGTTGGACTATTTTTTGTGGAGTTATGTGAAATCGCTTGTTTACGCAGATAAACCCAAGACGATTGACGCCTTGGAAGTGCCAATTGTTGCGAAAATTGGGCCTCGCGGCGGTAACTTTCTCGAAATATAGCATACCCTTATTTTTATAATAAAGCTCAATTCTAGGTCATAACATTAAACCATATGCACTTTATTTCTTCTTGAAAACCACATGTCTAAAAAAACGACCATTTTAAGGGAGTCTTGAGAAACTCTCCGGACTCTCTTTAAAACTCTTTACACTCCAGACATTAAAACATGACAATTTAAGTATTTACTAGCGTACTCGTTAAGCCAAAATGTGCTTTACCGCTGAAGTTATTTTGAAAACAAAAAGAAAAAAGAAAAGCTTTGCATAAAATCAATGAATGAATATAATTTATGTTGAACATAAATGTCAAACACTTGTATCTATTGTAATTGATCGTTTGACAGCTAGCAATCTATTTATATACTATACCTCCAAAAATTCACCCTATACCATATAAGAGTTTGTTTTCAGGCAATCTAATAGACGTTGTTGCATAAATAAATATTTTTCGAGTGAAAGAATTATCCAACTGCCTTTGCACTAAGTACTGTTGTAGGTATTATCCATGTAATTGTTGTTGGTGTGTTGGTTTTTATCATACGTTGCATTAATTCAGCTATTTAATATTTAATTACTATTTTCATGTATTTTATTATTTGTCATTTACACAGATGTCAGTGTGTGGGTATGTACAGCAATGCTTTTAACTAATAATTTCTTTAGCTTATACTATAATTATATACAACTATTATATATATATATATATATATGCATATATATTTATGTGTATAACATATATGTGTTTACAATTAATATTATTTATTGTTCCACATAGGCAAGTGTAAGTAAGTAAGATTTTTGTATGTATGTGTCTTATTAATTGCACATATTATTTGTCTTTGACATGTATATGCACACACACACGCATATGCTAAGTGATATTTATGTACGTATATACATATGCTAACAAGGTCTGTGTGTGTGTGTGTGTGGTTGGCATGCGTTTAAATTCTATTTTGTTGTTCTAAATTGTGTTGCATATTGACAATTACAAATAACAGTTAATTTATGTATTGTTATTATTTATATATCAATATATATGTATGTATGTGGGTGTTAACAATAAGTATACACTTATGTAATTGCCTTAAATCGCACTGTTTGACTGTGTTTAACAACTTTTTTCTAATTTTTACTTAATGACTTATTTGGTAATTATGGGTTTGATATAGGTAATTATAATTAATTAATACTTACTTATAATTACTAATTAATTAATTATTATTTGAGATTTTCTTAAGCAGTATTTTAACTAAAAATATGCAGCTATTTTACTTTAGTAGTTATTGTCTAAAATTTGTTTATCATATTTAATTAACATATTTTTTAACGCTGCATATTTCCATACACATTAATAATAAAGTTATTGTGTCGCTAGCCACTACATTTAAGTAAGATTAATATATTATAATATGCTTATTTTTTATTTATTTCTAAATAATTTTTTATATTTCTTAACATTTCTAATACTTTTTGTAAGTTTTAAAAAATATGTTTTTAGCTTAAATTAATATTTTATATTACCTTTTAACAAAAAATTCAAATTAGCGTAATTTATGGCCTGCGCACGCCACGCCGTCAGCTTACCAATAGAAGTTCTCAAGCTTTTGGCGCGAGGCGCGCTTATTGTGGCCGGCTGTAATGCACTAAGGGAACCATTAAATACACAAACAAGCACACACGCTCTCATACATACTAAGCTACATAGTTTTTGCAAATAATTCTATTTTTTTTATCTTATACCTAACCTCACATTCGTCTATTGCGTCACTGGCAGCTTACAGATGATATTTTAGAGTTGAATTGTTTTAGAAAAGTTTCTTTGTAAACAATTTTTTTTTAATATATTTGCATATATTTGGCAACGCTGACAACTGGTAGTGCCTAGGGCTCATTAGGGTTCACACCTAAGCAGCGTCACCAAATATATTTTGCCTTTTTTAATTTTAGACTAATATTATGTTGGAAATTAGTAGAAAATTTTAAAGTAAACTCGTTACTTTGATAATTCGAAAACATATTCTAAAACTATCAACTCAGAGCTTTTAAGCTTTGTTGTGCTTTGAACGCATTAATGTGCTTCTCAAGCTTTTCAATGCTCTGCCAACTTTAATTTAAATTTTAAAATGCTCTGAAAGCTTTATAATAGACAGAATGTTTTCATGTGCTTAAAGCTTGCTTGCTTGTATTTTCTAAGCTTTATTACGCTCTATAAGTTTTCGAATAGACTGCATGTTTTAATCTGCTTCGCAAGCTTTAGATGTGCAAGCTTTATAGGGCTCTGTGCACTTTGCTGAACTCTGTAAGCTGCCTTCTTCTCTCACCTTGACACTCTCAGCAGTAATGCTCTCACACACTCATACGCTCTAACATTGAATCTCTTCACTACCATACCGATCAAACTTTAAGATTTAAGTCATATGAAAATCACCTTTGAGTATGCGCGTAAACGTCTTCTTGAATTGTTGATTCGCGAGCGCGTAGCAAAAGGGATTCATCGGACTATTCGCATAGCAAAGAAAATATGAAAACATATAGAGATGCTCGTTGGTGCAGGGTGGATTGCGGCAGAAGCCCTCCACCAGTGCGAGCACATGGTATGGCGTCCAACACGCCACAAAACAGCCAAGTATGAAGGAGATCGTGCGAAACGCTTTGCGTGCACGATTCTCCGACTTTGATTTTTGTCGCCCACCACCAACTAACAGTGGTATTTTCTTTTTGCTCTTGAAGTGCTTACCAATCGAGTGCATAAAGTCGCGTTTACTCGAATTCCGGCTGGCCGCTTCACCGCTCGCTTCTCTCTGTGATTTTATACTCGACGGCTTGTTGTTGGTATTCGAGGTGCTGCTACTGCTGCCGCCGGTTGTGCTGATGCCAGCGCCCGAAACGTACCCCGTGCAGATTGTGTTGTCAATTTGTGCGGTGCTTGTTGGTGGCGGCGCCGTCGAATCCATGCTGCTTGTGGCCTGCGTTGTGTTAGCCAACTTGTTGGTAGTTGTGGTGGTCTCGGATGTTTCACGTTCATCAATTTTCTCAAGTTGCGCTGGTGGCACCGTTGTGGTTATAGTTGTTGTTAATTGATTTTGCATGGTGAGCGTCACTGTAGTGGCGGCGGTGGTTGTGTTGCCTTTACTTTTCGTATTCATCTCTAGCGGACTGGAGCTGCGTCGTATTTCCGTTAAGATCACCTTGTCTTCAACTAATTTGGCATGCTCATTGACGCTTAGCAAACTAATAGCTTCTATGCAGCTTTCGCGACGCATTTTGACAAAATCTTCCATGCCTGTGTAGGAAACAAGAAGATGACGTTCAATTTCGACATTTTCAAGCCCATTTGGTGGTGTAAAATTTGTGTTACCATTGGGTGGAGCGGGTGGATTGCCGGTTTCAGGTGGGGAAACACGTTCTGTAATTTTTGGCTTAGGATGTTGCTGTTGCTGTTGCGCAGCTGCAGCCTTTTGCAGAGCCTGTTGCAACAGTTTAGGGTTAGTGACGACTTGATTGGCACGCTCCTGATTGGTCAGCACTTCCGCACGCATGGCAGCAGCGGCTTGTGGTATGGCTTGCCGCAGTGAGCTGGTTACGCTGTCATTAGTGGTAGGTGATGCTAGCATTACAGAACTTTCGTCCATAAAACGCAAATCGGAATGATTGGTAAGTAGGTTATAAGTCATATTTAATTCGCTGTTACTGCTGTTGCCGCCTAAAGGCCGGTCCGAATAGTCGGAGAGAGGTGTGGGACATTGGAATTGCTCGGGAGGTGGTAGTATAGCTTGTACCAAGCACGGTTGTACCTGGTCACGTGGCACTTCAATAGGCGCGATGTCGACCGGTGAAAGCGGTGATTCAGCGACGAATTTTGTAGCCGTACTGGACCGCGAACGCGGTGGCGTAGGTTCCGCTCTGATCTGCTCATCCTGCTGCCGCTCCGTTTCGACAATTTGAGAAAGCGTCGAGCAAGACGTACGCTTAGGTCGATCGCTACTCACGCTTGTATGTACACTCACCTCTTCTTTGCTTTGCGTACGTATAAGTACACCGCTGCGTGTTGGGTTGGGGGATGTGGCCATGGCTTCATTGGACTTGGAATTTGTGGAGCATTGGGTTAAATTACCTTTACTACGTGTAGCAATGAGTGCTGCCTGTGCGCCGAAAACCAGGCCGATTGATGAACGCTTGCGCAGATTGGCTAGTTTTTGTTGATTTGCCATTTGTTGTGCTTGATTGACTGAGCTTTCCTCGTCCGAATCAAATGCCGGGCTGCTGGAGCGTTCACTTTTCTCAGTTTCACCAGAGCCACCATCGCGTTTACCATTTTCCATTTTACCTTCCGAAATGCGACGCTGCTCATTGACGCCATCGCTGGCAGTGCCGTTTATAGCTTCGGCTTGCGCGAGTGGGTTCATCTGACCTGAGCCACGTTTCGTCGCACCGCTGCAGTTGTTACCATCCTTCGTCGTGGCGCCACCGATCTCTACTTGAGTTTTCAGTATCTTTTCTTCTATAACACCAATACCGGCGGCATGTCCGGCCATACCAGACATAGCCCCCGCACTTAATGCCACCATCGATTGCATTTTCCGCTGCTTGGCTTCACTACGTTTCTGCATTTCATAGGCGGTACGATAAATACCACCGTACAAGACAAATAAAACTACGAGCGTCGTCCAATAGTAGCCAATAATAAGCGCCGTATTAAAAACCGGATCTTTAAGGAACTGCACAGCGCACTGCCCGGGCAAGAGATCACGCTTGCCCGTAAAGTGTTCCCAACCGAATATGGAGATGAAAAATAGCAACGCCGGCACAATCCACGTAATGGTGACCATATAGATCACACGTTTTCTGGTGCGCCAACTACGATATTTTGCCGCGATCTTCACCGAACAATATCGATCGATGGTTATAAGCAGCACTGTATACTGTGATGCCAAGCAAACTGTGTAGTCAACGGAGAGCCAAAGATCACAAAGCAACGGTCCCAAATCCCAGTAGCCCATCAACACGTATATCGTGTAGAAAGGCATTGAAATGGAACCTACAAAAGAGGAGTATAGACTCAACTGTATTTTACACCAACTCAACCGCAAACTTACCGATAAGCACATCTGTGGCAGCTAAAGATGCTATAAAATAATTGCTTGGTTGTCGTATATTACGATCCACGATGAAGGCAAGCAGTACAAGCACATTACCGCCCACCGTCAAGATAATGCAGATCGATAAACACAGCGCGATTAGTATGCTCTGCCAGAGCGCAAAAGGGGGCAGCACTTGCGAGGGCGTGGGACCGCGTGTAGTCACATTCGTAAAATCTTCCAAAAGGCTATAGTTCAAGCTGCGATTAGCATAGGTCGCCAACATATCCATATCGATATTAGCATTCCAAATGTTCAGTTCACCATTTTCGCCGATGAAAGGATGATACAATTGAGCGGCCTCCAGCAGGCGCTTACATTCGGTATGCTCGACGAAGCGATTAAAAATGGATTTGCAAATATTTTCACGCTCCTTCTTCTGTCGCCTGCGGTAATTTGAAGGGTATTAGGGTTCCATTAAATAAATATACTTATATAAGTGATTGCTTACTCACCACTGGGTTATGAAATCCGGCTTGATGGAGAAAATGGGATCCGTTTTATTGTTGCTGCCGCCAATCTCCAGCGTGGACAGCTCAATATCTGCGTACTCATTTTGTGTGGGCGTTGTCATTTTGTCAGTCACTATATGCAACGCCTATAGATTGTGACCGATGTGGTCGTTGTGTGTTTGGTATTTATAGTGCAGTCACTTTTCGATGTTTGCTAAAAGCTGCATTTTAAGTGTTTTTCGGTAATAACAGTATTAGCAGTGTAACCACAAAGTGCTAGCCAGCAAGGACATCTATCTCGGTATTACGGTTTAGAAATCTGCAATGCAAAAGAAACAATGGTGAATTTTACTACTCAGCTACTCTTACGTTGTTGTGTGCGTCCAAAATTTTCCCTGACTTTTGCATTAGTCGAGAATGTGTGTGCTAGCTATCTTTTGCTTAGGAAAACTTGGATTACACTTTATTTTAAGTTCACTTGCAAATTGCGTTGACAAATTAGTTCTACGTTGCATAATAATTGAATTTGGCTTGGAGCTACGACGCAACAGGTAACCGACAACAGCATTAATTTTCTGCTGGCATACTTTGCTTAAATACTCGGCCACAAACTAAATCATTGCACTATATCTATGTAACTATCGTCAACATACTCATATGTAATATGTGTTTAGTTTTCATGCCACCTATTTGAAGCGTTTCACATGTTCATCCACTTTCTCGTTCTGAATTAGTGTAGTCGAAATTTGTGTGTAACTACCACCCAAACCAAAGGGACGATAGTAAAAATATTACGCATTTTTCTTTTGTAACTTGATTCCAAATAAGTTGTTTCTCAGTCGGAGTCACACAGTTCATTGAAACTATGTGAATAGCTATGTGGTCTTAGATTTTTGGCTTGAACTTTCTTGAAGGCTGAAAACTAATATTTCTCGGACTTAACAAAGTTTTATTTTGTATCGTTCCCCTGTTTTTGTTTTATGCTTTACAAATTTCCATTACAAAAGAAAAGCTTAGAATATTCACTAAAATTATATAGGATTGAAGAAAATGTCTTCTTTTTCTTGGGTACAAACACTTCTGGGGTTTGGAATACCGAAACATTTTTCGTTTGAAATATCAGTTTCGAAAACTGATAGTTTAGTGGATTAAGGTCATATTAGGTCTAAAGGAAATTAGCTAAGCAAAATAAGGGCCATATTATTCGTATTTGTAGAAAATGCATTTCGAGTCCGTTCTTTTCAACTATGAAGAAGATCAGACTATATACGTTATGATACGATTCGGGATCGGAAATCGACATTCGTGTGAATTTTCGATTAAAATGTTTTTCGATTCAAATTCTGACCACAATAAATATAATGTTAAAACTTTTCAAGTCAACTAAAAGTAATGTTAATTAACACGATATCCAATAAATCTTTTATAGGAAATTAAAAAAAATATTGGAAATAACATTTCAACTGCCTGCTTAGTTCTCGAGAAAAATCGTTTCTCATTAACCGCCATCTCTTAGGTTATTACAGTACATGTTGACATGCACCCTATGTACACATATGGTATATTCATATCTATATGCACCTACAAATGCAGTCCATTTCCAACTCGCTTAGGGCGCTCAATTTGTTGTGCACGAATAGCTGCTGTCACAAGTCAACATCCATCGACAGTCGCATTTCAGTTGCAGCAACAACTATCATTATCGCATTTGTTGCATGAGTGTTAGTAACAGTGAAATGCACATTAGCCCGCACATAACATATACCATATACATGCATTCCAAAGCAGATGTTTTCATTTGTGGTTCAGTTTTAACGTAATTTGCAAGTTTTTACTCTTGCAAATAATATTCTCGTGGGACATGGTACAAAGTGAAAATTATTTGGGTTGTGGTTATGTTCAAACTATATATAGGGTTTGAGTTAGGGTGTGAATTATCGTAATCTTCGTTTAGGAGTTTATGCTTTTTCAACAGTATTTTTTGCAGTGCGGCCAATCTGTTTGAACAATTGGTTGAATATGTTCGATACGTTATCCTCTAACACTTAGTGACTTGAAGCCAACTATTGTGCATATATTTTATTGAGACGATATTTTCTTGTAACTCATATGTATTATATAAATATATATAAAATATCTAAAAATTCTAAGAAGAAAGACTTCGATTGTATAAAAACTTAAAGGTAATTATTCTAACCGGTATGTATTTATAAAATATTGCTTTTGAACAGATGTCTACATAAAATAACACACCGTGCACAAAATTCTATACTAGCAATACATACACAAATAGTTAGCCGAGCGTGGAAAGCTGAGGTTTAACATAGTTAGCAACAACCCTGCAAGCAGCACCATTAAAAACAATTGCTCCTCAGTGCATTACCGGCAAAAGTTGCAAGCTGATTTGTAGCTTATCGCGACAAGCGTGATAAATGAAGTTACACCTTGATTCTGCCACCTCTCATCGATGGTGTTAGTGAAATTACTTTGCACATCAAATTCGTATACGAAGGTAATAGGATTGATGTACCATCAGTATGTGTTGTTGTGCAAAGACACTGGAAACATTGCAATTGACTTTTGCCTAAGTTGACGATTGACGTTGGCGGCTGATGGCTGCCGGTTGATGGGCTAATCTGTTGCATCACTTGTGCCTCACTCTAGTGTGCAGCTAATGCAATTTGAAGGGAAATTGCAATGCTTAGTGTTGCAAGGCCAATAAATGTTTGTGGAAGTGAGCAATAATTTCATATACCATACATCCACAAATACAAACACAATTGTGAACATAAATATATACTACGAAACTCGATTTCGTTTGAGAAAATCTAATTTCGTTTGTAACCTCTGAAAAATACTGCGGTAGAATTCTCTTTGCGGCTACCGCAAAGTTGCTCTCTGCCTTATTGGCTCTTTTATTATCCTTCACCTTGAAGAACTTGAACCTTAGTTAAATGAAGGTTAAATGAGAAAAATCAAATGCATTTTAGACGCTTCACTTTCGAATTCACCAAAGCGAAGTAATCGATTTGTGGAATGTTATTGGCGATTGCCTTTCAAAGGAAGAAAGATTTTAAGGCAGTTTCGGTATATGGATCGAATATTGAAATCCGTTTTTCTTAATTTATTTCAGAAAGTATCTCTACAGCTTTTTCTTGGAAATGATGAAGATGAGAAAACAACAGAAATTCCTAGCGGGAGACAAAAAGTGCTATTTATTGAACTTTCTTTTTATTTAGCCAGATTTTTATCATGAAAGTCGTACCATTTCGAATTCCCAAATTTGGGACTGCTCTTAATAGAAAATATATTAAGATGTCAGAAAAAGCTATTAGATTGTGTAGGAAAATTTTACAGTTTAGCGCTTAGTTTCTTCGAACTCATATATTATGGATAATAAACTAATCAACTAAAAATTTTGAAAATGAGTTTTACCAGTATTTTGGTTTAACTTGTGTAAAAAAGTTCAGAAGTAAAAAATTTCGAGAATAATTGTGAGCTTATGCCCAAAAACCGAGTATGGAAATTTGGTGATTATCTCCAAAACGATATATTTCTGTGCTGAATTCAGTAGTAAAAGTTTTGGTTTTCTCATTGGGACCACATTTTTCATGTTTATGGTATATCTAAGATTTCGCGCAAGGAGTAGTTGTAACGTGAACTACGAAGCAGAATCAGTCCAGTCTTTTAAAGGTGAAAAAATGTTTAGTAGACTGCAAAAAACAGCAAATAAAAGCTGAGCTCTTCGAGAATGCCGAGTCGAATTCCGTTTTTTCTCAAATATATCAAGATTTATTAACATATTAATAAATTTAATTGAATTAAAATTGTTAAAGAATAATCCGAAAGGGAACGCTCCCTAATTTTTTATAATTTTACATAAATGTAAAATCTTAGTATTTTACGTCAAATCAGATAACTATAGCATATAGCTGACCGACCAAAATCTAGTTCTTGTAACGAATCTTTTGTATTTGTTAAGGGTATTATAGCTTCGGTGCAATCGAAGCTTCTTGTTAAAGATTTTTTTTTGCCATAATAGTGCGATTTCGAATTCCACAGGATTTACTAGAAAGCCACATAAATCGCTTGTTTCACATGGGAATTTGCCAGAAATCGACATAAACCACTGGGGAAACGGCTAGGCAACAATGTGCCAGGAAAGAGATAAAAGCAAATCGCTTTAAATAAAAGTTTAGACATTTATGGCAGAAATGCTAACATATGTATGTGGTACATATATACATATCTAAATACAAATAATAGTCGTTCTGAAATAGCAAGGGTCTACTAACATTGATGAGTGCCTACGCACAAACACACTGACGTCTATATGTTTTGCGTTTTTTTCATTTTTCAATTTATTTGTCAGTGTGTTGGGAAACATTTGTGGGTGTGCGTATTCTCTGGTGTACATTTTGTAGATGAAATAGCGAAACATTAAAGTTATTGGTATTTTCATTTATTATTCACATGCATTGTTATGCATTGATGTAGCTTTTAATTTTAGCAAGAGGCATCTACAGAATTTTGGGTGCAATATTGTGGATTTGTGATATACAAGTATTCACAATAAAACTGCCGGTTATTATTGTATTTTTATGCATTTGAATAAAAATAACGTTTAAATGCATAAAATTAACCATTCTTTATGTTAATATTTCGCTATCTAAAGATAACTTTACATAATTTTTCATAAGCTTACATATTATATCTCAAAAGTACTCAGGAGCTGGGAGAGCTTCAGATCATTCAAATACAATACAATATATCATTACTGAAATATATACGATTTTTTCTCTGTTTCCATATAACACATTTTTCTACTATTGTAGAATATTATTCACTGAACTCCAATATTCCTTACATGCAACTGGTTGATATTTGCTTAATATACATACAAGTATATATTCGTTCATTGAATAGCTCTACTACAGCTGTTAACGAAAATAAATATTTTTAAAATTCATTGTTTTCTTTATTAAATTTTCGGAAACTGTACTTTGTTATTTATACTTTTCTTGCAAAATGAGCACCATTTAAACTTAAAAAATATCGTTTTTTTTTGGTAATTTTTTTATCTTTTTTGAGTTTGGAATTCTGAGTTCTGAAAATTGATAGAATTTAAAACTTGAGATAGTTTGTCATTCTCGCTATTAATGTAAGTATAAAAAACTTCGGCTGTACCGAAATTTTAATATTCTTCACATGTACACTTTTTTTGGCATAAAGGGTAAAACAGATCTTTGTTTTGATCGGTGCATTTCAATGACAGTTGTAAGCTATAATGATCCTATCTGAACAATATCTTTAGAGATTTGCTTTGGATAATAACCTTTACTAAGTTTCGGAAGATGCTTAGTCAAATAAAGTTTTTCATATAAAAACTTGAGTTTGATTGGTCAATTGTATCGCAGCTATATGCTATAGTTGTTTGCGATATTTCAAAAACTGAGTGACTACTACGTACAGACGGACATGACTAAATCGATTCAGCTTCTTACGCTGGTTATTTACAATATATATATACTTTATAGGGTAACCGACGCGTCCTTTTGGGTGTTACAAATATCGTGACAAACTTAATATAAATTGTTTAAGGTTTAATAAGAAGCGTTTAATATTGCGTCAGCCGTCTACTGTTAGATTTATTCTAAGTACACTGGCCCAATTGCCACGACACTAAAATGGTTGCTTAAAATAATTCGATTTACGAAAGTGTTTTTGAATATTCATTGTGTCAAAATATGAAAAAAATCTATTTTCTCAATCTCTAGACTAGAATACCTGCTGAATTGTATGCATAAAAATGCTGTTACTGATTCAACGGTCAGCCTCCGAATTTTCGTTTCATTGATATCACTCGAATAGCATATAAGCATTTAAAAGAACACTCTCTCTTTTCATGGAACTTAAAATTGAAAATAGCTATTTTAAATTTGTAGTAAAATGTAATTAAAACTCACCAATTGTTTACACTCACACATCATAATACAATAGTCAATTAAAATTTGTTCAACATATTTGCAAATTCTTCGTGTAAATAGTGGTTAACCCTACAGCAAACACTCTGAAAAATCCCACAATAATGACAGACAAAGTTAACGGTAAATCAATAAAAAATATTTGAAATAATAAAAAATCGAACGAACGTGCTGAAAAGTGACACATCAATTACAAATGGATTTGCACACCTTTTTAATATAATGGCGAGCAAAAAAGGCGCAAAATTCTTTAGTTAAACAATATTGACACTTCTTCAATTTCCATGCTAATTAAAATGTGAAACAAAATAAATTCACACGCCAACTTATTTACATGAAAAACATGACAAGGCTTTTACGCGTACAGACAAGGTTATGGATGGCTATAACGGTGTATTTGTATTTATATCATAGCATGAAAATGCAAACAAGGAAATTTTGAAAAAAAATCGATTTTTTTTTATATGTTTCTCACGCACATGCCTAAGCAGTAACTTGAATGTTAAAGAGCGAAAATTGTAAAAATATTAGAAACTCAATGAAAACATGAGCTCGTGACAATATAACAATGGGGATAACGGGCAAGAAACGGTTTTTCAACTCCATGAAATCAATGCTAAGCCTACGATGCTAGTGTTAAGCCATATGCGGGTGGCGAGTTTAAGTAATAAATTAGTATTTATATATATACATATAATAGTTATACATATGTAAACATTTTTGTAAAGTTGTGAAAAAGAAATGTGTTTATATTTTATTAGAAATAGCTGCGGATGTAACAATATGGCGTGTGAAAACGGAACTTTTATATATGCATACATATGCACATTTGTATCTATTTATCTGTTTTGTTGCCTCTGTGAATCCCTCTATGGTTCAATAGACACAGCCCTAATTCTTGCCACAGAATATAATATCCATTTTTTGTGACACAGAATACATTTGATTGGGTTTGTGGTAGCTTCTTAAAAGTTGATATAGATTATTTTCCAAGGCAACGGTATAATCTCCGAACAAATTTTTCAAATCGGAGTAAATATAGCTTATTTGAAGAGTTTAAAAAAATGTTTTCTTGTTGGTCTCTTTTTTTCAATTTTTCTTTTCTGATGCCACGGTTAGTCGCCCGTCGAAATGTTGTCTCTAGCATTCATGTGCCGACTACTGTGTTGAGCAACAAAGATCAGTGAGAAAACTCACATGCAAGTACTTATTTGCTTCTGTTGCTGTCTGTGCGCTCTTAAATTGAATTATTCGTTGAGAATGCGGTCGGCATGCGAGGAGCTATGCCTGAGTAAGTGTTTACGTATATATTAATTTTATTTACATTACTATTAAAAGAAATGTAATGCTTTAAATAACACAAAATGCATAAACTGTCACCAACATATGAAAAATGTTATTGTGAAATTCTTTTGATTTTAATAAATTGTTATCATGAAACGTAGCTCAAGGTCGTATTTAGTTGATATGACCCAAACGGTCAAATGGGGCATCTTGCCAAGAAGGAGTGAGGTTTATAATTTTTTGATAAACGGTATTTTGATTTTTATTCAAGTTAACATACAGGTACGGAGGACGGTAGGACCTGAATTAAATCCCGCTCATTTCGATATACATAAATCTATTTATCTCATTTAGTTTTAGGTGTTGTAAACAATCGTTGGTAAAAGACTCTTGTAACCCAGTACAACGAGAGCATAAAAAGTAACGGTGTAAGTCCATCGCGTTTTCTCTGCTTATCATGCTTGAGTTATATACATATATAATGTATTGTTACTTTATTGTGGCCGATGAAAAATAATAAAAAATTGGTAAAGTCAATTGTGCTGATTAACATATCTGTTTTAATTAAATAATTGCTATTGCAGATATGCTCTTACGTGTTGTGCCATTTCTCTCAGCTCTCTTTGTGTTGATACGAAGAGTTCGAATTAGCATTGCCTGTTTTATTTGAGAGTGAGATAATGTCGATTCCTAAGAACCGCAATATATGATTATCTCTCAAGTGGTTATATCTCCCCACTGATTACACTTTGAGTGTTTGTTTACTTCCTACTGACTGTATATAAAAGGCACAACAATGATATTCATTTGATTTCTATACTGAACACCAAACGACTTGTAGTTCACTTCGTGAGTAAATTTGAACACGAATCATTAGGAATCCTAAACAATTATTTAGACTTTCATGAAGGTTGTCAATAAGTAAAGTGATCAAGTTACTGAGAGTCAGACCGAGAGAAAGACATCTGGAAATCAATTTATAAGGTTATCTTGATCACTTTGGTATAATTATAACCTCATAACTATATAGATTAGTTTGGGTGTAACCAAATAACCTTTAGCTGAATAAAACTATTACATTCTGTCCCCTTGTCTGAGAGTGAAAAAAAAATTAAATTTATTTTTTAGAATTAGAATACAGTTAGTTTGACACTCATGTAAATTTACTCTTTACAGTTTGACGAAAGTATTTAAAATAATCCAAAAATGTCCCAGTTACCAAGCACATTCGTCAAGGGCGTACACGATGAAGAACTGTCCAAACGTATGGAGTACCGTATACTCGGTCGTACCGGACTGCAGGTGTCGAAAGTCTCATTAGGCACGGCGACTTTAAGCGATTTATATGGGTAAGTTTTTACATCAAAAGTTAAAAGTTGTCAAAAGCGCCGAAAACTCGAAATTCACCAACGCTAAATTAGACAAGTTTATATTTTGTCGAAGCTTTTTTGTTGACGAAGCTCTGTAGTTTCCTACTCAACAACAAAAGCAGGGTTACAATTGCATCAAGTTGTTATTCTTTGACATTCGAAAAACCTCATTTATTTGAACACTTGTACATATATTTATGGCGTCATCGCCGATTCGGACCGTTTTGACCACTGTAAAGTGACTTTAAGAAAAGCTCTCAGGGTTAGAAGCTAACGAAAGCCTCATAATCGAGAACATGTTTTCCATAGTTCAAGCAGTGTTTAATAAATCCGCATTTTTACCGTGATGACGTTATTAACTATGCCTGTTTAGTGAGCTTGTAGTTTTGATTGAACAAGTGGCATGAGGCACACGTTTCGCCAATATATGGTGCAGAACTCTTGTCATTATTCAAAAAATTACTGCTCTCGATTACAGATATTATTATTATTGTTTTGTTTCTATATTAATTTTATTTATCTATATTATAATTTATATACAGAGTACTAGATTTGGACGATGCTATAGCAATGATACACAAAGCTATAAAATCTGGCATTAATTACATTGATACTGCGCCGTATTATGGACAGGGTCGTGCCGAGGAAGTATTGGGTATGGCGTTGAAAACTGTGCCAAGAAAGGCGTACTATATAGCCACAAAAGTTGGACGCTATGAAAAGGATTTGGTAAACCGATTTGATTTCTCTGCCAAAAGGACTCGAGAAAGTGTTGAGAAAAGTTTAAAACTACTAGGTATCGAATATGTGGACATTATACAGGTGAGCCATAGTTATATGATTATGCTCTGTGATAATAATTATGTGGTTACCGAGGTACTTTGCAACGATTTTTCGCTATTTTGGTTTTTCAATTTCTTCAATTTAAAGAGCTGAAAATTATTCTTGGTAGTTATAAATTTTAGCACATACCATTTGCTGAAATATTCTGTATATGGTTTAAAAGAACTGAAATGAGACCCTTTGACACACGAAGTAGTTTGCTATACGAGTACTCACGATAGATCGTGATGATGGGCGAACAATTATACAATTAACTAGATCTCTATTCTCTCCAGGTGCATGACATCGATTTTGACAAAGATCTCGATGTTGTTGTCAACGAATGTCTGCCTGAACTGGTAAAAATTGTTAAAGAAGGGAAAGCAAGGTTTATCGGTATCACCAGTTACAATCTTGAAGTGCTTAAGGAGTGCATAAAACGTGCACCGTGTGTGGATGTAATAAACATTTTTCATATTTCTTTAAACTCTTTACATAATTTTAGACATTTTCATTTTTAGATCGTACTCTCATATTCACGGCACACGCTGCTGGACGATACATTCAAGTGTTATGTGGACTTTTTCCAACAGCATAATATTGGCATTGTTTGCGCGTCCGCTCATGCATTAGGTCTATTGACCAATGGCGGCCCACAGCCTTGGCATCCCGCAGCTAATGATGTGAAGGCGATTTGCAGCAAGGCGGCAAATATTTGTAAGGAGGCCAATATTGAGCTTGGCAAATTGGCTATGTATCAATTTATGCAGTTGGATGGTGCAAGCACATTTTTAGTCGGTATGGAAACGTGCAAACTGTTAGATATTAATTTAGCCGCTTATTACAATGGACTTAGCAAAATGGAACTGCAAATATTGAAACAATTACGTGAAACGTAAGTAAATAATATGATATATATGTATGTAAGTGTATCTGTCAAGGGTAAGTAGAGAGAGTGTTAATGCAAAGCTTGTACCGTTTAGAACTCTGAGTCAAGAGAAAGACATATGATATAAGGCACTAGAAGTTGCCACAAAAAATCAATTTTCTTAGCGAGAAAAGGAGCTTATCAAGTTATTCTAAATAAAAAGTGACATTAAAGTCAAAGTCGTTCTCCTTCGACTTGAAAAATGCATTTATTTGAGTGAAACAAACTATTTTACGATTCGCTAAGAAAAGTCAAATACTTGTGTTCGTAATAAAGTAGTCTTTCCGAGAAACTGCTGAAACGTTTTGAACGATTTCATAGACGTGTTTTTGTTAGAAATATAAATTTTCGGGTAAACTCGTTGTTAAATTTTTTTCCGTGATAAAAATCACTAAGTAAACTATTCGCATAGTAAGCAAACAGTTTCCAAACACACACTAATTTTCATATGGAGTTCAAACTTCACACATGCAGAAAAAAAGGTTGTACCAATTTAAAAACAAAATATTTATCGATTTGGTTTACACGCGCTTTTATTTGATCTTTTGGTTAAAAAAGCCGATTTCAATGTCGAGCTCAGGGTAGTTTGCTCAAGCTCAACCATTACCTAGAACACCAGTTGAGCGCTATTGAATTTCGACCAGTAAATATTGGTGTTATCTTGTGTAACCACAACAAAAACAGCTGCTCTATTTTATAGCTACTACAGAAGTCCTTGATTTAATTAAGCTGAAGCAGTGCAGTAAAAAATGTTTTAATTGAATGAACTTCTAACCTAAGTGAAAGTAAATAGCGAATAAAATTTCAGTTTTATACTTTGTAAAAACAAAATATGTATATGAAATATCTTTTGATAGCATTTTCAAGAAATCATACAATTGGGATGGCGTGGAAATTGAGGAATACCGGCGTGCATTGTCGAAGGCGAAATAAATGGAAATTTATGTATCAGAACCTGTCTCTGATGTATTTAATATATAAAAAGTAAACGAATTGTTTAATATGCTGTAATAAATAAAAATCAACCAAAATCTAAGGAATTTGGATATATTCAATAATTTTACTAGACGAGGCTAAAAAACTTTAGCCATTGATAGTCTAAACCTAACGTTTCTGGCGAAAAGGCGATCTTGTCAAACGCATAAGGGTTTGATGTTAAGAAATTCGGGGTAGATTTATTCTATTTACTTTCAAGAAGCTTCGTTTGATATATAATATGATAAAATGAGTTCTGATCGAAGCTTACAAGTATTCTTGAGTTTTAGAGGTACCAGCTAAAAATATTTTAAATAAATTAAGATGGGTTGGATGTATATTGGAGAATTTCATAATTTTATTGTAGTATCCAATTAAGACATTTTTAAGTTGGTGTCTTTCGTTACAAATTCACAACCTTGTTTTGGAAGTAATTTATTTTCAACAGGCGGTCACCATGAATGATCAGTATGAATAGATAATTGGCGATTTTGGTATATACATACTTGTAAATAAGAAAATTTAAAATTTTTGATTTACTACTTTACAGCAGAAATAAATTATAAAAGCTAAAATTCACTAAAAACTTAATATAAGCACAATGAGAAAAGAAGTAATGTTTACTTCGGTTGCACCGAAGTTATAGTACCTTTCACAAATACAAAAGATTTCTACGAGATCGGTAGTTCTGCCAAACGAGCTGCCTTTTGGGGAAAAAACGTAAGCAAATATTTCAGATCGACATCTCAAAATTTTTTTGGTAAATACACCAATTATGTGTTACATAAATAAAAGAGTTTATGTCTATAATAATAATCTAATATAATTGCGGGGCTCACCCTGCTCATTTGATGCTCAATACAGGGGACGGGGAAAGAACTTGCCGACAATTTTCATACGCTCATAAATTGTAACTAAACTGTTAGTCGGCAAGGGAGGAACTGTGACTGAATAAGTGAGCATGAAATTAAAGCAACTCAGTAAGAGCTTTGTACACAGTTTAGTACTACTAAAAAAAAAATGTTTGTTCCAAAAAACGACTAATCTTTTATATGTAAATGAAAATGCATTACAAGTAACCAAAATTATTCATAATCGTAAACTCTTCTCGCGGGGCATATTTTACTTAGCAGTGCGACGGTGCATTGTTATGCGTTACTGACTTCACAACGACTCAATTATTGTAAACTTAAAGGTACTACTGGGGCTCTCACAAAATGAAAAGTTTGAATGGGTAATTTTCTCGGCGACTGTTGTAGCTAGATAACGTATTATCTCTCAAAGAGAAATGAAAAAGTATTGCCTGTTTGTGTCATTTCGATTCGACATTTCAACCGTACTGCTAATGTTCACTGCATATCGCTTATGTTTAGCAAAAATTGGCTAAATAATTTTCCTGACAACTATTTCTGCCAATAAACTGTTATTTTGGTACCAAACAAATATCGCATATTATTTTTTCAATATGGTTCTAAAAATCTATAGTTTCTCATTTGGTGTTTCGGGTTGAAATCGGCCAATCCAGCTGATCGCGACGAATGTAAGAAATTTTTTTTTATTCAAATAGCAGTTTTGAATATCTTTTTTTTTGTCTATAGTTAAATTAAGTGTATCTGTACCCTTTCTCTTTTTTATACTCTTGCAACATGTTGTTACAGAGTATAATAACATAGTTTTGTTCACCTAATTTTGTACGTCTAAACTGTATTTTGGTTCTGGAGATCGCAGTAGCGATCCCACTTATGGGTGAAAAATATTGAAAAAATAGAAGCGGCCATGCCTTCTAATATTTTTATTTAGGAATAAAACTTGACTACAAAAAACCTCCCTATGGCGTGCATTCATTAAATGTCCTATGATTTACTCAGAGAAAGTGAAACAATACCGTTTTAAACTGAGGTACGTTTCCTAAACATCAGTTTTGTAATAAAATATACTAAAATAAAGAATTTATTTTCTTCAACAGATCTTGCAATCGATTTCTTAAAAATAATTTAGGTATGTATTTACTGTATATAAGTAATTGTTGTATTCGCAATTGATTGTGCCTACGTTTATACAAATTTAGTCAGTATATAAGTTTTCGACTAAAACGATGTATTTCTTTCATTTGGCTGAAGTTGATTAAAAAAAATATATATATATCAAGTTCTAAGTGCAAAAAATTGCCGTATTGTGTTGGTTGTGTTTTTTAGAACTGATATATCCAGCATTTTTGTTTTCTCATTGGTTCTGATCAACAACTTCAAATGTGCTTACTGAATACCAGAAGAATAATTTCACAAGATTAATCTTAACCTAAAACACCCTTTGTAACCTTTTACCACCCTTTTCTTTCATTCAACTTTGGTATACTGAGGTCTTATATTATATTATATTAACCCCATTGCTTCATTTACCAACACCGACTTCCATTGTTATTCTCTCATTAAATAATCATTGTCACTGTGTTTATATTTCTTACTAAATTTTCGCACAGTCATTTACACTTGCTTTTATAGCTTTCTTTGTTTTTTTGGGTTTGGCCTCCGGCGAGTGAATGAATTCGGCTTGAGTAACGTAGTTATTTTGCGCTTTTTAGAAGAATTTCCCAACAGTGGTACAGTGTGCTCATGCTTCCCGTTATAACCACGCATAACAGTTGCTCGGCAACAACAAAAACCAACATAATAAACGCAACCACAGTAGCTTGCTAACAACAACACAGTCTTCCTTCTAGCGTAAGGATTGCAAAAATCCGCTTTGCCATTGAAGTTGTCAAAAGGCATTAAGCGCTTGAGACATCTTTCCTTACTCAAGCAATTTTAGCTTGTGGCATGTAAAATGTTAACGGTGTTGAATAGGGAGTGTATGAAAAGAAGAGTTATACTCAAAGGCAGTATTCTTTTAGACAAGAACCAAGTGGCGAATTGACTAGTTTTGATGGAAGCGTTTAAAACTAAGACTAATTATATTGTCAAGTTGCAAATAGTTCGTCGACGAAAAGCTCTTTTCACTTTATCCTAGTTTTGGAATCAAAATAGTAGTTTAGAAAAGCTTGGGAATGGTGCTGTTCATGGTGCTTGTAAACTAGGTCCTGTACAAGGAAGTAAACATTTTTATATCGGTCGATCATAAGAGCGTTGGCTTTAGAACTACCAGTTCAGCAGTCGTGGGAATCTAAGTTTTATATTCATTTATCACGAGCTTTATTGATACATAAGCACAGATTAAATATAATTTACTCTTACGAGATCAATTACACAAATAAATTTTATATAAGAGAGAGAGAGGGAGAGAGGGAGAGAGAAAGAGAGAGAGAGAGAGAGAGAGAGAGAGAAAATACCTCTTCAAAGTGATATAATCGTTGGTGTTCCATATTAGTATGATTATAGCAGGTATGATACCATATTTATACCAGATCTCATAAACACGTATAATCGGGTTTGTTCGATTCGCTGCTTCTAAGCTTCGAGAATCGAGGAGAAAAGTACTTGTATCACTTACACTTATACTATAATCCCCGATTTTCAACAATTTAAGACTTCCAACGCTTTATTTGCAAGATTTTTTGACGCACATTTCTCAAGTATAATCTGTATTTCGTGAACGATTTTTCATATCATTTTATCCCCTTGTTCTCCGGTATATTTAATGTTTCGTTTTTGTGCCACATTTTTAATTTTTCCTCCCATTCACAAACATAACCACGAACGCGGAAAGTGCACACACACCCACAACGAAAAAGACCTCATTTTCGATCTTCCGCTGGCATTATTTTATCTTTCATTGCTTTCGGCTGACGCTGCTGACGCTGCTGCTGCTGCTGTTCTTGCTTTTGATGAATCCCTGTAGCGGAAGCATTTAACAATTTTTCAAGTACCCCAGCTCGTTTGCTTTTGAGAGCGATAAACGAGAATGAAAAACGATTTAAAACAAAATGTTGTCACTTAAGTGCCGAAGTGTTTGCTCCCGAAACGGCTTTAATGCACCGCCAAGTGGCAAACGGACGAGTTTTGCAATTTTTTCGACATTAGCGACACTTTTTACTTTTACTTTCATAACCGTTTGTTTTCCTCCATTGACTGACTTTGGTTGTCAATCTTAGCGGTCGTTTTCAGCTACAATTTTGTGTCAAAGCAGTGATAGTTTCTTGTTAAAAAAGGAAGGGAAAATATCAGGTTTGTATCCACAGCCTTCAATCGGATATAGTAATGCGCGAATATGTACAAAATTAAAGTGAGAATGTGCCCACTTATGAGGAAATTGAGAATAAATTTTTGGTATCGTAACTTTTGGGATGTTAACGTAAGCATTATCTAATTCATTGAAAATTGTCAAAATTGTAACAAAGGAGTATGTGAGCGTGAGTATGAGCGAGTTTCTTTTAAAGTTAGATTAAGTTAGGTGATAGAACGATGAACAATTTTTAAATGAGCTGAAGTCTCTCTCTCCTCCACACATAAGAACTTTGAACTCCTATATTTAGAGAAATGTTAAAATCATTGAGAGCAAAGAGCGCAGCAAACTTCTTGCGATTTTCTGTCGTCTAAAAGTGTTTTACGACCGCGCAAGTTTTAGTAGTTCAATAGCCCAAGCATTTTTCTTATGCCTTATTTATCATTTTTATACCCTGAACAGGGTATATTATATTTGCCACAAAGTAGTTATATGATATAGCTGCCATATAAATTGAAAAATCGGAATCAAGTTCTTGTAAGGATCCTTTGTATTTGTGAAGAGTATTATGGCTTCGGTGCAACCGAAACGAAATAACTTACCGAGTTGATCGCGCAAAGGTAAAGCGTTATTTTTGAACGCACTGTATGTATGTGCAACTCCGTCATGCCGCTTTATTCCATTTTAATTATTGCACTTTATTACTTTCTTTTTCTTACTGTAACTTTCTAGCATTTTATATTGCCAATTATTTTGCTCATTATAAACACACAACCAGTTACACCCGTCTTCAGAGGAGTACGAAAGTGAAAGGCAACAAAAATAAGGAAAGTATAGCCAGGGACGGATGGTGCAAGTGTTGCCGCCGGAAATGTGCTGGTGGCATTGGCAATATTTGCGCCT